ATCTGTGGTAACGTTTTTTAAAATTGGTGAGGAAATTAGAACCTTTCCTTCTGAATTTTAAGAAGGAAAAGCAAATTTGGTCATCCATATTAATACTCAGTTACAACCAACAGCATCACCAAAAATAAAGTGATGTTGCTGTCTCAATATTTAGTGGTTACCCCTACTGCTTCTTACTTGCAAGCCCAGACTACCCTAAAATTACCAAAAATTATCTTCCAAGTGAGATCCGATACTCATGTACTTTTCAGACTAAAAGGTAGAATCTCAAGCTTGTCAGAAAAAGGTCTAGTGCCCAAAATGTAACAGACAGTTGGCATTTTTATTTAAATCATTGCAGAAGACTGGAATCAGGAACTTTCACACAAAAGTTTATGTATAAAATTATAGTGCCTTAGGGTTAATTACTGTGGACAATTGTTTTAAATTTTAACCTTCACAGAGGAAATATGCGTATGAAATTGTTAGTGGCTGAAGGGAAAGATTTACAAGGGAAAATATTTGCAGCCAAGCTTCAGCTGTGCTGAACATCAGTTTGTGAACAGTGAACTATATACTACACTGTGACAACCTTAAAATGTCCTGATTTTTTAGCGACACTTTTGCTCCTACTATCTCAAGTCTTCAGCCTGTGCTTCAGCCAGTATAGCAGGTTTGCTAAAGTTCAGTTCTGTGGTTCCAAAACTAGTCAAAGGGTGCTTTATGACTTTAGCAGAAATCTGTGGGGCGGCACAGAGGATGGAAGGACCATTGGGGCAACTGGAACTGCTCAGTCTTTATCCTCGGTATTTGGGAAACTTTTTGTTTTTGGTTGTTGTTGTGTTTTTTAGTTTGTTTGGTTTGGTTTTGTTTGTTTGTTTTTAAATAGGTTTTGCATCCCTAAATACACGAATAAGCAGTTTTGCACGGGATTTTATATATATATCTATATCTATCTATCTATCTATCTATCTATCTATCTATCTATCTATCTATCTATCTATCTATCTAAGCTATCGTAGACCTTGTGGCCAAACCCACTGGAAAAGGTGAACCCAGGAGACATGCAGGAGATGTGCCTCCCGGAGACACAGCTAAGGACAGGAGCCCGCTTGTTCCCGCTTGTCCCGGCTGCAGGAACTCGGCCGGCGGTGCCAGGGCGGCCCCGGCCCCTCATCCCACAGGGAGCTCCCCTCGCCCAGCACCAGGGCCAGCTCCGCACCCCCGGGCCACAGCAGCCCGTACCTTGGTGAGGTCAATGCCGGAGCCCACGATGGGCAGCCCGTCCTCGTCCATCCCCGCGGGGCCGGGGCCGGCAGCAGCGCCGCACCCGCAGCAGCTCCGCGCCCCCCGGAACCCGCTCGGCCCGGAAACAAACCCTGCGCTCCTCGGGGCGGGGCCGCGGCCGCTCCCGGCGCGGCTCCTCCTGGGAAGCGCAGTTCCTCCTGGGAAGCGCAGTTCCTCCTGGGAAGCGCAGTCCCGGGCAGGAGCCGTCGGGCACCAGCTGCGCGTTAAGGATAAACGCGCCGCTTTTCGCCGAGCTTGTGTAGTGTCAAATGATCCCAGCCGCTGGCGTGGTCCTGGGGATCCCGCTGGCTCACAGCACTCCACAGCCTCGGGAAGTGACTCTGGATAATGCTGTTTGGGGAGATAAAGTGTCATCCCCTGCGGTCAAAGGTCAAAGAAAGAATGAGAAAAGCCAGTGAAGAAACTGCGTCTGTGCTCGTATGCATAATTTGGGTGGGGAGGGGCCTCGCTCTGAATGCGGGGAATAAAAATAAGGAGAACTGAATGACCTTGGGTTTTTCTGAAAAGGATGAAAGAATGGCTGCAATAATGTTATACATGATTCCAGTACCTTAATGCTTATAGAAAAGGAAAAAAGGAGTAGGTAAGCATAAGCATGGCCTGTCTATAAGGTTTTGTTTTGTTTTGTTCAGCAGTACCTGTCACTGCTTTCAGCTCATCCTCATGTTCAGGGAGTAGGTAGGACTACTCTTTCAGCCAAGGAACCTCAGAGGGTACCCTAGAGGGGACTAGACCAAAGGTTTTCAGATGTTCCTCTGGAAAAATTTCCTGTGTTGTGCTTGATTGAGCTCTACTGGCTGAAATTGATGGGCACGGTGAAAGCTTAGGAACAGGACCTGAACTCCTGGTACTGTCAATTTGTCTGCCATCTGTGCTAATAAAATTTTGAATGCGATGTCTACAGTTCTACACAGTTACATACAACAGATTGTGAGCTGAATAGAAGGTATACTCAACCCCATCTTGTATATTAAATAATTTCTGCATCTTCTACAGGTCTTCTGTGACCTAAGAGGTCTATTCTCTGGGACAGCCAGACAACTGGTTGGGATCAAAACCATTAAACAGCAAGTCATGAAAAATCTGAGGACATGTTGCTTCTATGGAGAGTCATAAAATGCATACAGAACATGCATTTACCCACTCCCCATCCCAAACTGATTAACTGTGAATGAAAGATGAGAAATGACCTTTAAATCCCCAGAGATGTGGCTCCAGACAGAACATTACATGCACTTGCATCTGTAAGTAAACCCAACTCAAACAGTATGTGGAAATAGTATTTACTGAGTTATTCCGTGGAAACTGTCATTAACTCTCAGAATTCATTTTCACATTAACAAGGAATAATTGTAAAAATTTATCCTTTGGAAAAGGCATGGGATGTCAAACTGAACACTGGATTCCCAGTTCTTATGCCTGTGCTAAGTTTTGGAGAATCTAGGCTAAGCAATGAAAAAATCCTAGAATGATGATGTTATAACATTGGAACAAAAGACTACCAACAGTTCAATCTGTTAGGTAAAATTTTGCTTCATTTAAATTCAAAGGTTTTGTACTACTGGAAGGCAAGACAACTTGGGGTGGTCTGGAGTCCTTGTTTACAGCAGGAAATCCAAATAGATTGCAGTGGAGAAAATATTTGGTGAAAATTCTCCATGGTTACATCTAAATACTGCTACATTAAATAAACCCCCCTGAATTCAGGGCAGTTAAGAAACGACCATAGTCTGAAGCTGTCAGTTGAAAGCTTCTCATGTGATGAGATGGATAAGGATGCACTAATTACTGTAATACTCTGAAGATTAAAACCCAAATGTAATATGCTAGTTTTGGTTTAAAATTCACCAAAATTCTCAATTTGCTTCCAAGTTATTACACTTTGTTAAGCATTCTACAAATCCACATACAGAAACAGTGGTGGCTTACCTACAGCACTTAGTTCTGTTACTCAGGTTTACATAAAATTCTCATTTATTTACCGAAGCAGCTTTTTTTTTTACTTTATTACTTTCACAATATATTTACTAATAACCTGCTGTCAAAAGCACATCATTATTACTCAGACAGTATAGCAAAGGTTTTTGTCTATACTGCTTGAATTACTGAACAACTTGTGATTCATACTATGCTTTGGAGCACTGATGTGGTGTTGGCAATTTTTCGCCTTTCCCAAAGGAAGGACAGTGGGCTAATCTACAAAGTTCAGTGGATTTAGCTTTCAGTTCCTAGCCTATAGGCATTGTGCAAATTGGTGTTGAGCAAAAAAGCTGCTTGTTTAAATTATTTAAGTGAATTATCTTGCCACCTTAATTACCTCAAAACCCCCACTAAATAATATTCAAGAATTAATCTCATTTATCATGAAGTGTCTATAATACAAGTTTTCCAGGCAATGGCACAGAAAATTAATAATGTAAGTGCATAGTCAGATCTTATCTGAATGTTTTGGTCTGTAAAGCTGGGTAAGAAATCTCACAAGAATATGCTCTACTGTGAACTTTCTGGTACATCCTGCTTTTACTTTGGCCAAAAATACTACATAAAAAAGTGCAACACAGCACTTTTTCTCCCAGCTGGAGTTAGGAAATGCAGGGTATGAAAAGTGAAAAACAGAGAGCAGAGGAAAATGATCCAAATTTTCCAAAACCTCTTACAGAAGTTTTAATTGAACTGGTTTGACCAACTATAACTATAAATGACTGATCTTCTGATGAGAGGATTTATAAAAAATAATTGAATAATAATATCTAGATTTATTGTGTGTACAATTTGAAAATATACTTTGTACCAGCACCCATACTGAATGATAAATGTCAAACTGAGGATTTAGTACCTAACTGCTGGCAGTTTATACCCTATGTATGTGTTCATATATATGGAGGCATTTAAAGGCCCTGTTAGGTAACTTCACCTTTCAGTGAAGGAAAGAGTAAAAACTGTTTAAGAGTTACCAAAATGAAGTCTGGTTGAACATTAGTATTTTGAAGATGTTAACTTTCAGGATGCTGAGGCTAACTTGTAGTGCAAAAGCCATGTGTACAGAAAACTGATCAAAGCTCTGTCTTCATCACTAGTAAAAAAATACTTGTCTTGTGATAAGGGTACACTGAAAAGTCAAGGGAAGAACATGGGTTTCAAAGCATTGAAACTGGTCAGCTACATATAATTTTATGTTGCACAAAATCAGAGCCTCTGGTCAACTGCAAAAGAAAACTGCACAAGCTGAGAAAAACTGGCAAGTGCTACTGCAGCTTACAAGGTTCAGATGCATCTTGTGTGCTTATATACTGCTACAGATCCCAGGACACAACACTGGTTAGAAACAGCCCAGAACTCAAATAGCTATACAACTGAGAGACAAGTTAAACAGAAACAAAAAGCTGATCCAAAAAAATCTCCAGACACGCTGTAACCTGATCCTCCACAAGGGACAAGAGCTGCTTTTAATAAGGTGGTCCAATGAACAGCTGAAAAGGTCAGTGTGGATTAACATTTGCTTGATTTCCCACTGAGTCTTCTAAATCCATGCTTGCAAAGGGTATTCTAGTAAAGTTTTCTGTGTGAAACTGATATTGTCTCAATGATTTTTTTCTCAACTGAATTTAAGCTAAACCACCGCTCCATCTCAGTGATCTTGGTATGTCAGAGTAGGTACAGAGTTCAGAGAATTATCAACCCTTGACAGTTAAACAGACTGATAAATACAAATGTTAGGTGTTATGTAGGTTTATTAAAAAAAAAAAAAAAAGGAAAGTAAATGATAAATGGTTTGGAGTTCTCTGAAGATGGCTCGTCATGTTTCAGTTTTCCAAGTACTGTGCTAAGGCAACATCAGAGGATTAACTAATTATTTTGTTCTGTATGGAAGAACATGCTAAAAACATTAGCTGCTTGGTTGGGTTTGTTTGTTTGTTTGTTTGTTTTTTGGGGGGTTTTGGTTTTTTTTTGTTTGTTTGGGTTTTTTTGTTTAATATCCATATTACTTTTTTCCAGTATAAAATGAAGAGCCTGAAACTTGGCAAGATCATTCTTTGGTAAACAGTTTTAAGTAGTCCTTAAAAACAGTATTAAAACTAAGCATCCTGGCTTCTGAATTAACTACAGAACAATAGAATTTCTGCCCTTTGCCCTCTTGAATCTTAAGCAATTCTAAATCAAAAAAGTCTCAGTCAGAGTACACCAGCACATACCTAATGCAAATTGCCCTTGTCAATATGAGTACTGGGTATAATGTATGATATTCTGCATAGCTCAGAGCTCTGTAAAGCTTTGCTCTGAGAGTGGACAGAAAAAAACCCAAATCTGTTTCAGTTTCACTACACACCAGAAGGACAGCAGTGCCCCAGGCCAATCCATCCTCCCAGACCCACAAAGATTTTTATCTGTGTCTGTAAGCAAATCAAACCTCCTGTTATGCCTGCAATCTCTGGTCAATTTACAGTTGCTTATTTTACAGTTTAAGCACACACTGATCAAGACTGGAACTTATAAGGAACTTTATATTCATCTTTTAGGTAAATTTTGATGGCAGTTGGAAAGCAAAAGTTCTCAAGAATAAGGAATGATGAGAAATAAAATATGCCTTACATTTTAAAAGGTGACTGTAGTCTCACTTACTGTTGTCCTACTTCTGAATTGGTTTTATGTGTCCTGCATAAATAGGAACAAACAACAGAATATTTTAAAATCTAACTACTGCTAATAAGGATGGCTATGATGCTATAAGGAACTGTTGCACTAGCAGAACATCTTGATATGCCTTCACTTGCAAAAGCATGCAAAAAAGACACTGAAGATGGGAGTTATGTCTGTCTTTCTCTTCTTTACTTCATTTCTGGATCTTGTATAGGAAGGACAGGAAAAACACACTTCTAGAAAGCAGAATGTGTTTGGTTTTCCTGTGAAGGCTGAAAGTAAAAGGCTGTAAACAGAAAAAACCCCACCATGCTGTTTGACACAATTGAAGTAAATCCTCTGTCATCTTAAGAGAAATAATACTGCTGCAATCATTCTGATTTTACCATTAGCTTCTTCACTGTTAGTGGTAACTAGTTAATTCAAAAACGTTCAGGGACAACATTTTATGACAGTACATTACTGCATTTTTTTTTCTTATAAGATAGTGATGGTTGGGAAAGTTAATACGGAGACGTGTTCTTTCTGTAGGTACTCTGGACAATTTCAGAGTATTTGAGCTGTGTTAGTGAGATTGCCAGACTGGGACTGCTGGACATAAAAACTCCTAAAAAACACTTAAAAATTAATTTTACACAAAATACTATATTTAAAAAGTACATTTTATTTTAAGGGAAATAAACAAGTCTCAGATGTAAGATAATCAATTTTACAAAAGCTCTTACACTTGCAAGCTAAAATTCAAACAGAAATGATTCATATCTTACTTGTTCCTTTCTTATGTTCTCCAAGTGAATAAATACCATTACAAAGAGTAAATGTTTTCATTTTACTAGAAAACAGGCATTATGCTGTAAAGTATCATATTAAAGGGAAATGCTTATTTTACATTTCAGTTACCCAGAAGAAAATTTTATGATCTCCCCCGACTGCGCATAATGGAAGAGTTCTGTGCCATGTCAAACCAGACCCTACTGCTGCAGTTCCAGTAAGAATGGGCTTCAAAAAAAGACAGAGAGAGAGAGAGAGAAATATCAGTACAACTTCCCTTATAGATGATTTCTCTACCACATATACCAAGTTGCATAGACAAATAAACATTATGGATTAAGTACTCCTTAACAAATACAGTTAAAATACAACAGAAATTCAACGGAAAAATCTGATTCTCTGCTTAGTTTCAGTAGCTACTTGCCACATTTAAGTACAGCAAAATAGTCCATAATAACAAATTGTTTCAACTATTTGTATTATTGTAAATGTTATTGTTATTTTAAAGGCATACTTTCAAACCTAAAAGCCTTTTAAAATGAAATTGTTTCTGTTATTTCAGTGTACTTACAACTAGTATGTTTGAAGGTGATACTCTTACTGTAACTGCTATAAATGTATACTGACTCCAGAAAAACAAAATATTTCCTTTGCTTTGCATTTTCATTTATGATTTTAAATCCAATTAGTTCAAATCAGTAAACTACATAACTAGCTGTTTTTAGCTTCCTTAGTATTAGAAAGGCTGACAAATTTATTAAATAACAGGTTAAACGTGTTTTTCTTGCCCTTAGCACTGATATGGCAAAGGAAACTAAAACATATAGATCAAGCTTTTAAAATAGCAGGTTAAGTGTGCTGCAAATTTTTTTTCCTTAGTATGGATGTCACAAAACAAAATAAAATAGGTACAACAAGAATCATTTCTGGATGATTTGGGCTAGTTTTTAATTGTAGCTTTTTAGTATATATGAGAACAGATGAGACTCCAGTCAATAACTGAACTCAAAAATGTACCTGGGGATGTCCTAAATGATGAACCAGCAGTTGAGTAGTTGTCTTTCCTGGATATCCAGTGGTTGCAAACAGATTTTCATTCACTCGGGACCACCTATGAATAAAATGAATGTACTTTTCAAATACCCCTGTCACATGATCAGTAGTGCACACAAAGTGGAGTTCTCTTCCTTGTGACAGTGTGAAGATGTCAGATATTCTGCTAACAGCAGAGGAATAAATTTAGCCAAATGTCTTGTAAATGATTCAGCACCCACAGCCCCATATGAATGCTGTTGTTAAAAAGAAAAAAATCATGGGAATGTTACACATATATACTAAATGTGGGTCTATACATTTTAGTTCATAGACCAAGTCCCCCTAAAAATGCCTTAACTGAGACCAGGTTTCTAAACTCACAACTGCTTACATTTACACAGACAAACCCCACAGCATACAGACAACACCTACCTGAACAGCCTGGCTCGATCGACATGGACGGGTCGCTTGTCCTGTGGATAACTGAAACAGACACTCAGGGTAAAAAACTGCCCTGCAAAAAAACTACAGCTCATGCTGTAAGTACCAAAAGCATCTATCATTTAAACAGTGAAGGGGACACATTGTCTAACTCTCTGTGAAGCAGCTGAGTTAAAACCAGAGCGTTCCTGCAGCTTACATCTCAATTTGGAGTAGGAAAACTGAAGTAGTTATCCAGTTTATTATGTATAAATAATTATCTATTTATGACTTAGGATGAAACTTTAACACACAGTGAGGGGTAAAAAGTAGTGACATTCTGTCTCAAATGGACAAAAAAGACAGACAATGTTCTTTTTAACAGATAAATATTGATAGCTAAAGATGAAACAAAGAATACCAGGGAATGGTCTGTATTGATATAGTAATTACTGATAATTGTTCATTTATTTACTGAATAGTTTATACAATATATAGTGCATTGGGGCTACAGAGATGATTAAGGGACTGGAGCATCTCTCTTTAACAAAGAAAGGCTGAGAGAGCTGGGCCTGTTCAGCCTAAAGAAGAGATAATCGATTGAGAGGAGACCTCATCAATCTATCAGTATCTGAAGGGAGCGGTGTCAAGAGGATGGACCAGGCTCCTCTCAGTGGAGCCAAGCAATAGGACAAGAGGCAATGGGCAGAAACTGATGCGCAGGAAGTTCCACTTGAATAAGAGGAAGAAATTCTTTACTGTTTGAATGACCATGCACTGGAACAGATTGCCCAGAGAAGTTGTCAAGTCTCCCTTGCTGGAGATATCCAAGACCTGTGTGGATGCAATCCTGTGCCCTGTGCTCTAGGATGACCCTGCTTGAGTGGGATGGTTGGACCAGATGACCCACTGTGGTCCCTTCCAACCTGACCCATTCTGTGACTCTGTGACTGACATGCTGTATTAGCCAAGTAGCTGCATCTCCTCATGGATTGACAAAGAAGAGACTAAAGAAACCTCTCTCATGGGTATAAAAATACCTGGAGCGAGTGATATCCCAGATCAGCCAATCACTTCCAGCAACTGCTCCGATTTTAAGAGTATTTTTTAAACACCAGTCTGCTGACATCAGTGGTGTTTGTTCACACTCGAGGGAGAGAATGGCCTGCTGTGTAATTAGATCATAGAATCGTATTGTTCCATTCTTCTCTGCTACCATCAGCTGTTAAGAGAAATTAATAGAATGTGGTAAACTTGGCATGTAATGAAACTTAATACCTTTTCTACTCTATAGCAAACTTAGAGTACATTCAAGCAAACATTAATAACACTAAAATAGATACAATTTTTCACTTTGTACCAGAAAACATTCTCCCAGACTCTCTTCTACCAATAAAAAAAAGCACTTTAATCTATACTACTGGTACACTGTTACACCTAATGAATACATTATTTTATCTCTATGTATCTGTAGATATCTATGTATATAATTTTGGTGGTTAGAAACACTGGTTCTTAACCATCAGTGCACTGTGCTTTTAGAATTTTAAAGCAAAATGTTATTATATTAAAATGAAAAAGTTCCTTTTCTGAGTTGAAAGAACTGACTGACAGACACAGTGCTGTAAAAAAGAAAGGGTTATCAAGCACTGGAACAGGATGCCCAAGGAAGTGGTGGAGTCACCATCCCTGGAGGTGTTTAAGAAATGACTGGACTTGGCACTTAACTGATATGGTGGTGTCTGGTCAAAGGTTGGACTAGGTGATCTTAGATGTCTTTTCCAACCTGAATGATTCTGTGATTCTAAACACAGTATTAATCAATGTAGCTGTAGAATCTGGATTCACACTTACTAATTTATATAACATCTCTTACTTCATCCTATAACAGTTTGCAACAGATTTAATCTAAACTTTTTACATTAAAGTAATACATTCAAGCAGTTGTTAATTAAGTACTGTAGAAAGAGCTTCCTGATTAAATGATAGAATCATAGAAGGTTTGGGTTGGAAGGGACCTTAAAGATCATCCAGTTCCAATCCCACTGCCACAGACATGGACATGTTCCACTAGACCAGGTTGCTTAGGCCTCCATCCAACCTGTCCTTGAACTCCTCATGGAGTGAGCATCCACAACTCTGAGCAACCTGTTCCAATGCCCAGATGACAAAATGAGATTTTTCTCCATGAGGAGCACCGGCTCTTAGATAGTCATGAACAATAACTAAGAAAGGCAAAGAAGCATAAGAAACACTACTCTGATAACATTCAAGTTTGTTTGGAAAACAGAACTGTCACCAAAACATGCTTTTCTGCAAACTAAGGGACATGGTGCAGTAAGCATTTTGACCTGCAATAAGCTTTTCAGCAACTGCTAAGTCTGTCAAGTTTTGTGAGCCTTTTGAAGGGGCTTTTCTTTAAAAAAAAATAAAATCCTGTGCCTATCTCTGATAACAGTCAAAGAAAAGATGTGCTAATAATAAGTAAGATCATGTACTATTGCAATATTTTTGAGCAAATCTAGTAATTTTGTTGTGCTAACAAAGTTGGCCATTAACAAATAGCAGCTAACACATTCAAGCGTGATTCTGTCTGGATCAACAGTTTTCCAGGATTTCTTAGTAAGGATAGATACTGATATTGGTGGAAATGTGATGAGAATTACTATTACTATGTAAATACTTTGATATCTCATTTGACTGCTTTTCTCTGTTTTAAGTATGTTTTTGTGGTAACCTGAGCAACTATTTGTAGCTGCTTAAGGCAGTTATTGATAGGCACAACAGGAATAATAAATCCAAGACAGCAGGGACTAGACCCTTAATGAAGCTGGATGTTTGGGTACACATCAGCTGATTAATCCTCCCCAGTACAATAATCAGATAAGTACAAAATTACAGTCTATTGGTTTGATTTTTCAAAACATATTTCATATATGGCAAGCAACAACAAAAAAATCCCTTGCTAACTTCAAACAGATACTTTTCAAAGCTTGGCATGCTCTGTAAGTCTGTGTTACTGGTGAACTGTGTTATCATAACTGAGTAAAACCCAAGCTTTTCTCTGGTAACTGTAAGTTAATGTGGAATCAGCAGAACAGTTATCAACAACAACAGATGTATGTAATAAAGAAGGAATATTTCTGATGGGAGGAGTAAGGGACTGAGGGTAAAGTGACAAGAATGGTAATGAGAATTAATTTACAGTCACTTCACATTAGCAGATCTAACCAATATCCAGTTACAATGTACACTAGCTCCCCAAACTTCAATGTTATACAACATCAAAGATTCATAGTTTAGTTAAGTCCCCCTCCTGTTTTTTTAAAGGTGATGAGGGTGAGAAGCTGAAAACCACAACCTTAAAAGCCTCCTCAGGATGCCAGCAAACACTCATTCCAGGAGAACGTAGAACAAAATGGGCCTTCTCATTTCCTTCCAAATCCCAGACCCTAAAAAAAAAAAAAGAAAACACTCAAAAAATTGACTGCACAAACATTAACTTTCAGTGCCTCAATACATTCACAAAGGAAGTGACCAAATAGCGTTCATGCTGTATCATTTCAGAAGTCGGTAAAAGTGGTCAGTGCTACAGACAATGTATTTTAACACTGATGAGCCAGCCAGAGCCTCCGTTTAAGTATCAAACTAATTTGAAATCTTGATGAGATGCTCTCACTTTTTTCATAAGTCACCACTACAGCCTTTGTACTGTACCATAAAGTCAGTGTTGGTCCAGTCAATACAAGCAACCTAGAATGTAGTACCAAGCAACTTAAATCATCCACATTGCCATGTAAAGGATAAGGCCATGCAGTAAAGTATTTTTGTTGCCTAATATATGAATTTCCAGCATTTCCCGGTAAGACAAGATTGAGTAATGGAAATACAAGAATCCAGAAATGAAGCAAAGTAAACAGAAAGATCTATGGCAGAGGTAACATGAGGCAACAAAGGGTCTTGACAAGCTTTCAACAAATAAATCACATGGGCCAGTTTGTTCTTTTCCTTTAGAAGGACTAGCAGTAAATATCAAGCAGCCATAAAAATGTTAAAAAATCAGCAATATTTGGACAATATGGATTGACAGGGAAGTGTATGCTGAAACACTGAAATTAGGTGATGACTGAGTTTTCTTTGGACACATTTAAAATGAGTGTTAATGAGCCATGAAGCTACTTTGTTTATAAAATGCAACAAAACCAAAACTGAGCCTATTTTATCTCACAACAACTGACTCTTTTCCTACAAAATCAGTAGCTCATTTGTAGGACAAGGACATCACAGTTGTGAATATCAGTCTGAACCACAAGGCTGCATACTATTTATATGTATTTGGACACTGAAGCACAGACATATATCCTTCCTCTCTGACATGCAAAACCTTAGAAACAGCCAATTTTTAAAGTAGTGTTCTGCCCAGTCTTTTGAGTTAGATGAGTGGCTACATACTATTATTGTTTATTTTAGAGGATTTTTGCTGACTTCCTCCAGACTTTTTCAGTTTATATCTCACCAGGGTGCTTAGAGCCTTATATTTAAGAGATTTCAAAAAACTCTTAAATAATACATCATAAGTCTAGACAAAATATATGGGAATAAAGTAAATATATTTAATGAACAATGTTGTTTTCTTGTGCCAAACCACAACAGATCAAATATTTGTTCTCCCAGTAGAAAACACAGGGTCTCTAATCTTGAAGAATCAGTGTCCTTATTAAAAAAAGTCAAAACAAAAAGCTGACAAGTGTTTAAAAAATGAAATATCTACTTGATTAGGTAATTTAGAAACATACAATACTTTCTTCTACTGCCAAAAATTTTGCCTTGTAGATTTGTCCAAGTCAAATCAACACTTTCCATGTGTATTTACTGTGCAAGGAGAAAATTATGATACAAGAGAAGATGGTGAATCATTTTGGCAAAAGGACCAAGCCATGATGCTTCCTTCCCTAAGGTGAGTGATTTTATTAGGTGTTGAAACAGAAATTTATGCTTTTTACCTCCCTAACTTTGTTATTTATAAAGTTACCAAACTTGTATCTTGTACTTTGAAAGAATGGCAGGACTGCTTGTAACAAACAGTGGAGGGGGGAGGGGAAGGGATAAAAGCCCCTCTTAAATTTTCTTCTTTCCTTATTGACACCAAAGATGGTCTAATTTAGGTTTGAAAAAAAGAAAACACAAACAAACCCCCCAAAAATTAAACCAGGCAATATATATCAAAATAGATCTTTCTCTGAATGCAGCCAATCTATACAATTACATATGTGTTCAATTTCTTTGTGACTAAGCCAAGTAAAAAATGTGCAAAGACCAAAAATTAGCCAAAATGAATTTCAATTACTCAGTTACTCAGTAATCATAACCAAATCAGCTACAGATGCTAAAAAAACCTTCTACTTTTGTCTACATTCCTATCATGTAAATCAATCCAAGACGACTGAGCATTTTGTCTCCCATTCAAAGCTCTTGAAACTTTACTAATATTACCACAATTTTATACCAAAGTAAACTACTGTCTACTTTTCTCCAAACATCCTTATCTTGTGTAAACCTGCAACGTGTCACTGTCTTAATTCTCCTCCTCCCTCCATCAGCCATTGTTGTATAGACTTATTACTGGGCTTGTGGTATTTTTTTCTGATATTTAAAAAAACCTCCACAAAAAATTTAATGGGGAAAAGTTTGAATGATCACAGTTGAAATAATGGCCAAAGTTTGATTAATGGGAAGTCTCAAAAATAATATGTAATCTGCTCAGTAAATTAATTATTTTTTTAAAGTAACTAGGGACTGAGAAATTATATACTGCAACACTCTCAAAATTTAAACAAACACAAAAGACAGATAGTTGCAAATGCTGTTAAAGAAAATTCTTGAGATATTAGAACATTTCTCGTCACTCACATCCTCTGATTAAACAAATGACAACTGAAGTTGTCTCAAAGCTTGAAGATATTCAAGCTCCATTGGATCAACTATGTTTTATGTCATATGCATGAATATGGATAATGACATGCTGCATATGTGCATTAATTTCATCATACAATGGACTTTTATTACAGTTGGTAAAGTATTTATTAGAATTCTGAAAACCTGTCTTGTGGCAATGGAGATGATCCTTATTTTATATTCTAATTTTCTGAATTATGAATAATTCTAACTAGCAGAATCAAATCCTAACTGGACTTACTGCAATAGTAAAAGAAAAAAAACATATTTCAATCTTCAGGCATTTCTCAAATCCCCAGAAGATGGAAGTAAAAGCAGGAATTCTTCCAACAGAAGATTTCAAACAATTTTAGTGAGTAGGGTGGGGGCTAGAACAAACCTTGACATCTGATAAGATTCCCAACCACAAAGAATGATCAACTATACTTGAACCTTTACTCAGAAATTACTCATATCCAATGTGGTTTTGTTGTTTTGTTGGGGTTTTAACATCTAACTTTAATATGTTTCTTCATACCTCCATCAGACATATTCCATGTGTGAGGAAAATCCTATCAACTTCTGAAAAGCCTAGAGGACTATGGAGAAGGGAAGGATTCCTGTTACTGAATTCACACAAAGGTAGAGTGAAATTGTTCCTCACTAACAGAAAGGAGTGAGGAAATCTCACTAAAAGAAAATGGAAGTGGACAGATTAGTTAACACTGCAGAGAATACAACCAACACTGGCCTTATCTAAGGTCTTCTGCCAACTCCATATGGAGGTGGTTATCAAAGATCTGGAGGGTACTATGCAGGACATGAAGGAACAGAAGGCTGAAGTGGAACTGTAGAAATTCCTTCTGTCTGGTCAGGTGAAACATTCAAGATAATTTCTAGTAATTTATTGTATTTTACTAACAAAGAATTTAATAAGTTATCTAACACAAAACCAGAGACCACACAGCATTTCTGAAAAAGTGTGAAGCTTCCTTTCTATCCTTTCAACCAAAAAAAACCTGCTAAGAGTTATCAGCTTATTGTTTCCAATGTAGATGTAAAACTAAATGCTGCTGTGGTATGGCTTTTACTGAGAAACTCAACTACAATTCTGCCAATGGCTTTCTAAAATATAAAATATAAATGAACTTCTAAACAAATCTAATGCAATTATTTCTATTTAAAAACAATTTATAGGCTAGACTACGTTCTAGCACTGCATGACCCTTAACATAAATAATAATAAGCCACACAGGAAATTACTACATCATCCTCGTATTTTGAAGACTTCCTAACTAAAAGCTTATTCACCCACACTTAAGACTAGACTGAAATAACATTCCAAATATTTGATTCGGAAAGTGTTTGTTTTGTTGTTGTTTTTTTTTTTTTTTTAAGCTGACGGGAGAGCAGTTAATGTTCGCACTGTGGTTGTGAAGTGCAACGCCAGTTGGTTTAATACCTGCATCGTGGCTGTAAAGTATAACAGAATTGTGTAAGACCCCATTCAGGGCAACAGGGATACATGTAGAAAGTGGGCAAATTTAAAAACTAGACTCTTAAAAAAAAAATTCAAGACTCTTTCTTCTTCATTTTCATCAATTATAATGCATAACCAGCTTGATAAACTGCAACGAGCATAGCTCAGAAAGGACAAAGTATTTAGGTATGACATTTCTTGTATGAAGAGACTGGAGAATCCAATAACACAAATGGATGAAGGTAGAACAACATGAAAAAAGACACCTTTTATAAAAACATTGGTAAAAATCCATAATTGACTGCACTAAAATAGGAAGATACAAATAGAATATAATTTTTAGAGGTAGAAATAAGTGATAATGACAACTTTTCAGTACAGCCAAAGACTGAAATATTTATTGGGTAAAAAAGGTAAGATTCAAGTGTAATATGTGCAATATTTGCTGGCAATACATTAAAGAACACAAGGCAAAAGAAATAAACAAGAGCTACCATTAGCTTTCCTTCAAATTGTCTAGAGAAAAACCTACACAAAATAACTGGGGCATAAGAGTACCATGAAAAAAAAAATGCTACAGATGAACCCCCCCTAAGAGCAGACGGAACACATTTTGAGAGTCTAGTTGATTTAGTTTTCAGTGATATCAAACCTTTCTCCCACATCTCTGTCCAGGGAGCAAAGCTAACCTTCTGATGGACTAGCACTTGTGTTACGTGCAACATAACACTGAACTTGACAGTGACTGATAAATTAATTCACAAAATCCTTCTCCATGAAGTGACATGAACCATGGCCTAAGTAGCTGAACAGAACTCAGAAAGGAATCAAAGGGCAAGTATATTCACAGATAAAATGAAAGATAATGCAACTGTACATTCTTTTGCCCACAAAAAGAGAGGAAGAGGATGTAGATTAAGGAATAATTAAAATAAAAGAAAAAAGAAAGAGTGAGGGAGAGAAAGGGATGAGTCCTTTTCAGTTTTTTAACATACAAACTTTTATGATACCAAGAAATGGACAAGCAGATTACTTTAATTACACATAAACATTACACAGAATTTTGAAAATGAGATATGAAAGATCATGAGGAACTAGACTTAAAGGAAAACAATTAGATTAAATTCAAGAGGCAATTTACTTGTCTGTGAACACACATAACTCACAACTTTTACTCACAACCACCTGACACAAATGATCACTGCAAATACTTTTATGCAAGGGTATTTTTAGTTCAGCTGTACTTCACAGCTGGAAAAAAGTCTTGTGCTGTGAGATTAAGGCCAACAAAGACAACATGCAAGAAACAACAAGAGTTCCTGAGTGACACAGCAGCAGCTGAAAGGTAAGAACACTGAATATAACCAGTTTCTGACTTACACTCTCCGTCCTCCACCCAAAACGACTGAACCCAGCTCTGAGATGCCACTGTTGAAGCAGCTAGTGACAAGACTGTTGAGTGCATGAACACTGAAAATCTCACTTTCCTTCGAGGTCTCTGCAAAATCTCCTACTAAACTTTCTACTGAGTGAAAGCCAGAGAAGAGCTAAAGATGTTTGTATATATTCATTACATATTGAAATATTGTATTAAAACTTTATTAAGACTTAAAAGTGGAACTTAAAACTTTGTGTCCTTGCACTAACTGTTCCAGAACTTTATTCCACAGGTATTAACAGATGATGTATCCCAAGAACAATTTCAGAATGGAAACTCAGTACAGACAGAAGAATTATTCCTCTTCTTACATTACTGCTGAAGCAAATTACATAGTAAGTTAAGAATGATTTTGGTAAGTCCCAAGGAATGCATTTTCCATTAGTTTTGAAAGTGTAACCTTTAAATTCAATAGACAAAGTCCTCATGCCCCACATGTATGAATGGAAAAAACAAGAACTCAAATAGCCAAAAAAAATTCTACTTATTTCCCATGGATTTTAACCAAAGATTTTATGGTTTATGGCATAAAATGTCCTTCATAGTTACTAAGCTGAAATCTTGTTAGTATATATTAATTATATAATTTTTATTTCCTTTAAAATTAGTATCAGTTAGACTACTGGTTTTAAAACGGTTTTCTTTCATCCCAGGAACACTGAGCATTTCATAAAATAAACAAAAAAAGGCCCCACGGTCAAACAACTTTTTGCTGAATAAGCCAAATATGAGTTTAGATCTAAAAACGAAATCAAGCAGAGGAAATAAATCAGAACAAGTTACACATATGTCATACATTTCTACTATTCATTCCTAATGATTTTGAGGGAAATATAGATGGGGCATCTACGGAGAATCTGCCTAGTTGTCAAAGCAGCATTTCTGAGTTCCTCAGAGGTGTTAAATTCACAGGCCTTTAAGATTTTCTATTTAGGTAGGACAGAGCAGCTCAACTAAAGCTACTAAACTATGAAGAGTCCACCTTTCTGGCAACAGGTGGCTTAAATGAAAAATGACTTTTTTCTCAGTCAAGTTCCGCTTAGATGGCAGCAAATATACACCATACTGAGAAGAACTAAACGGTTCGTCAACTGAGAAAGTTTTGAATTATCACAGCTATTACAGAGAAAAGATGATGCTTTCTCAACTCTCTTGCTGCTCTGCTGCAGTGACCTGCAAAGCCTGCACAGCTGCCCTCCTGATCTCTCCAACTGCTTTAGAGGGATAAGAACAGCAGCTTTTGCCAGATTCAAGCACTCTACTAGAAGAGTAGAGTAGAGATGGGTGACCTTTTGATAAGGAAAAACTCCTGTACTACAAAACTTGAACCAGCCTTTTCCAAAGCATTAAACCATGTTTCCCTCCTACTTTCAGTAATATATATCTAAATACATGGGTTTGAAGCAGCTGTAATCATGGTATTTTGAGCTGCCAGTACCACTGTGTAAGTATGGTAATGTTTTTAGGCTATGTCATCCCACCTCCTGGTAAGGCTACTAAATTTGGGAAAGCAGACAAGTTCACATCTGTTTATTTTAAACTTGACTTGTCTGATGACAGAATGAGAGGGTCTATATAATTCAGAGCTGAGCTATACATGGCTTTTATTCCTGTCCAGTAGGGGAAAAAGTAGTGTATGAAATTCCAAGACAGAACAGTTTTCTTCACGTTGTGTCTAGTTGATTCAAAATACTGTTTTGAAAAAAAAAACATCCCCAAGTCACAACAAAAAGTCAGTCTGCAACCTGAGTTAATAAGAATAGTCTATTTTTTGTCTTGTTAGTGGACTGGTCTTGGCAGTGGGCCATGAAAGCCAACTAAAAGAATAAATACTTATTTATTTAAGTGAACATGTAAGGCATTCATACACAGAAAAGTCAAATACTACTGTTTCAATAGCGTTTTGAACTAAATGCATACCTGCAGGTGTGATCATCACTTACGCTTGCAACCTCTTGACCTTCATTGGGAGCAAACACCAGATCATTAATGTAATCTGAGTGGCCATCAAATGTCTGTCAACCAGAAAAAATAAATACTTTTACCTTAGAGCTGCCTGCTCCGTCAGACCACAATGTATTTAATAGACCTGCTAATGGAAAGATGTGTGTTAAGATAAAACTATCATTTTCATAGATGGTAAAACAAATGTTTATCGGTAACTGGGTTTCTTTAAAATATCTAAGTCATGTGTAGGTCCATACTGTAATGATGAAAATATTCCCCTGCCCCCCAAAATTCCTTGTAGTTACCACTGAGGTCAGTTTGATGCTCTTGCTTGACAGAGATCAGCGAATCATACTAGAGCTTTTTATCCTTCTTTTGACCACTGAATTTTGAAGGTAGAAGATAATAAATCTCAGAAAGAAAGAGGAGAATGAGCAGGAAGTGAATGTGCACTTGATCTACCTATATTAAAGAACTGTGATTACTGGTAAGTAACTCTGATCTCTGAATAGTAATTTTTCCTAGGGGTTCCTGCAAGCAGCAATAAATTTTATCTTGAAGGAGCAACAAACCAGCCACTTATCCAGCACATGAAGTCACTGCACAAATTGCCTAAGAGGATATGTCTACTAAAGATGGCAGGACAAAAGGCTGCCTTTAGAAAAAACAGTGAAAAAACTCTCAGTGAAAGAAGAAGAAACAGGAGACAGCACACCATTAAGACTTTGAGAAAATCAAAAATAAGGAAAAGCAGTAGAAGCAAAATCAAGCAAGCCATACAGTACCTCAGCAATTACCCACAATTTCTTTTAAGCATTTGAGAAGAGCATTGTGCTCCCTGCTTTATAAGTTGTTGTGCTTAAGAGAAAAGAAAATGGGGTATAGCTCACACTCTGCTTTTATTATGAATTAATAGATCATCCATTCTCAAATAATAGGATACAAGCACTCGTGAACGCACATGTGAACTGTCACTCAAAAGCAAACATCTGATGTTCTATCAGAAAGCGTGAAGTCATTTCAGTGGAAACCTTGTTACTGTGTAATTCTTCTCATCTGATGCTTCTTAATCATGACATTTTTATTTCTAACTACTGCAAATAATTTATCTGTAACAAAAGCCAATTTAGCAGCACCGCTTTTCTAAAGCAAAACAAAAATCCCAGTTTTAGTAAAAATTAGAAGTTATATAATTCTTATGTATTTTGAAGACTCTTCAGTTATTTTGGCCATAATATCAAAACATCTTTCCCTCCTCCCTTAATTCTATTAAGTGTTTTGTATTTATCTACAGACATCAGTAATCTTTTGAGGTTTACAGTATCATCAAAAACCTAAGTTAAATAACTTACACACATTTAGCATTAAGCAAGTAGGCAAAAGTCATCTCATTGAGGGTCCAGTTAAAGTTTAAAGTACTTTCAAATTCATTCACATTCAGGCTAGGTATGCAAAATTAGCAAAAATCAGCTTTCTCTGTCTAAGCATTTATACATATTTGCTCTCACTAAATACATGCAGGTATTTTTGACAGGCAAATGTCCACATGTAGATATATCTCGTATTGTTCCATCCTCTTCTATTCAGTCCCACTGATTAAGTCTCAAGGCATAGCTGCTCTTCTTTTGCCCAGCAAGGAATCATAAAAATGAGACAAAAATATCCTATGGATAATAGCATGGGATGGAGAGATTGCAGAGGAAAACAAGGTCAAAGGAAAACAAGTGTCACAATTTTCTGAAAGGAAAACACACTATCTATCCTCCAAGTGTAGCTATTCTGAAGAACAAATGCAGAACTGATAAAAAAAAATTTCTCTCAAGCACACACAAGAACTAAATCCCCCTCTCTAACAAACATTTTCAGCAGCCAACTTTATTTTTTCCAATAGTCCTAATTTTATTAAAATCTAATGGATTATACCAGAACGAATATATCCTAGGTTGATGATGCTAAACTATTTAGACAGAAATGCCCATTTTTTAAAACTTTTAGCATACTGAAAAATGCCTGATTTTACTCCCACAGTTCTGACGAAATATGCTTTTTATTAAACAAAATTTGAAGCAGGAGAAGGAAGCCATAACTCATTTCCAAATGAAAACCTCAAAAGAAGAAAAAGGTTTCATGAAGATCCATCAGTCATATTTTACCTTTTGTTTTTTTTGTTCTGGGCTTGATCCAACCCATAAATTTTGGATTAGTTGTGTTGACAAAGTAATGGAAAACTCGGTGTGCTTCAAGTTCCTTCTTGATAATTACATCAAGACAGCCTTTCCATGGGGAAAACAGAGTAAGATTACTCAGTCTATCCCTCCAGAAGCAACACATACAAATTGTTTACTATAAAAGACAAAATGTTCAGAGTTTATATTGTGACTGTAATCACATACTTCCTTCAGCATTGTTTGCACGTTCTGTACCTCTCCTGCAAAATCCCATGTGGTAAGTCTGCGCTATATAATGGATAAAAGTTTTCCATGTGTTCATCCTCAGTTCAACCTAAGGTTTATGAAATAGGCTTCCTGAGGTATCAGTTAACTAAGAAGCCACTGTATCAAACTTTATTGAAAGCCAGCTCACAGAGAATTTGTGAACAGCTGAGACTCTGCATGTGCTTTAAATCAGAGTTAGGTGTTACTTTTCTCTTGACAAGAAGTCTAATGATTGTCTAGGGATAAGAAATTAAGATCATTACCCAGAGAAAGGATTTTCCAAACTTTTCATCAAAAAAACACAGAAGACATTTCTCAAAGACGACTTTTACCAACAGAAACATATTAGTTCACATTCTTTCTTTTCATTATTGAGTTCCCTGCTAATAGATAAAAAAACCTATCACAGTACATTCTTAATAAAGTTCTTAGACTGTTAATTCCAGTGATGGAGCTGACATAAACAAAGCTGATAGCTTTACTGTTAAATTCAAGCCATTTGTGTTGAATACACACCAAACAATTACAGAATCATTAGGGTTGGAAAAGACCTCTGAGGTCATTGAGTCCAGTCATTAACCACTAAACCATGTCCCTGAGCACCACATCTACATGTGTTTTGAACACTTCCAGGGGCAGTGATTACCTTGGGCAGCCTGACCACCCTTTTAGACAAGACATTTTTCCTAATATCCAATTTAAACCTCCTCTGGCACAACTTGAAGCCATTTCCTCTTGTTCTGTTGCTTGCTACCTGGAGAAAAGACTGACCCCCACCCAGCTACAGCCTCCTTTCATGCAATTGTGGAGGGTGATAAGGTCTCCCCTGAGCCTCCTTTTCTCCAGACTAAGCACCCTGAGCTCTCTCAGCTGCTCCTCATAGGACTTGTGCTCCAGATCCTTCACCAGCTTTGCTGCCCTTCTTTGGACACATTCCAGCACCTTCAACGTCTTTCTTGTCATGAGGGGCCCAAAACTAAACACAGGATTTGAGGTGCTGAGTACAAAGGGATAATCACTTCCCTAGTCCTGCTGGCCACACTCTTTCTCATACAAGCCTTGTTAATCCAAAATAAATAAAAAAAAATAGAATTTAGAATCTGAATTTAACTCAATGGAGTCTGTAGTACCAGACTCATCCCACTGTTGCATTATTTCCACTTATTAACCATCCATCAGTTACAATGTTACAGTAACTTTACATTCTGCTAAAAAGTTAAAAGATTTAATTCACAACATTGAAGCCTGTTGTCTGAAATATCATAAAACTGGCAGATATCACATAAATAGATAACTTTAACAAGGAATGACAGAACTTTTAGAACTATTTTGTCAGAAATGCTACCCAAGTTGATAATAAGTATGTCAGTTATCCCACTGCCCTGGTGGCAAAGTCACATAAATTGACTAAAAATGAAAGAAGGAAATTAAAGGTATGTGCATGTATGAAGCAACATAAAAAGCATTTTCTTTAAAGACATTTTGGCTTTGTAACATCCAACTTTACTTCTTATGCCAAGCTTTTATTCATTCTACTGTATGACCAGATAAGTGACATCCACAATTCGCTTAGTTTCTGCATGGCAAATTGTCTTACTAATACAAGTTAACAAACCACAAAAAAGGTCTATTATTTTCTCCATTATATCTAACAAACCACTCTGACCAAAAGAGGCATTATCATATTCTAAAGCAGTAAAAACCAAGGAACACTCCCCCAGGTTTCTCAGTGTTAATTAGCTTTGCTTATTCTTAGCTAAGACCTCAAAAAAAAAAAAAAATTAAAACTGGGTAGCACAAATATCTAATTGATAGTAATACTTGGACTGGGACATTGTTTCAAAGGAAGAACTTCAAAGAAGAAGAAAATCAAAAGATCACGTGGCTGATAATTACAGTTATTCCCATTTTAAAAACAGAAAGGTATATAACAATGCAACAATTATCCCTAAAGATTATGGATATAAGATACGTCACAGTTCTGTGCTCTATCTCATAAAGTACACTAAGCAAAAAGAAGAATGACAGTTAGAATGACAGATTAGACTTTACTAAAGACTAAATTATCTTTTAAAAATCAGCTTAGCTGCCCTTACCTTAAACTCATTCTTGTCCTGAAGGTCTGAAGTAAACAGCCTTAACTTTTTATCAGAAGCTGCAGTACAAAACCTACACTCAACAGACAAAAAAAAGCTTTTCAGTCATTTAACATTGCAATGGTTGACTTTTTAGCAGTTTCCCTTCAGTTTAAACCTGCAAAGTGACACGCAAAGGAAAAATCAGATTTTGAAAAATACCAAAAGCATCTATTTTAACTTTTCTGCTTTGGCAACAAACAGAGTTATAATTGGAACTTATCAATAATGTGTATCAAGTGCCAAGAATATTTTTTCATAGACAGAAATGCAAAACATTTCAGAAAGCTAAATTTCAATTAGTTATCAGTTATCCATTATCTGAAATATCTTTCATAACTGCCATTGAAACTTCCCTTGTAAGAAGTTAAGAGGCAAAGCACAAAAAAGAACCCTTGTTATCAGTGGTCTAAAATAACAAAACATGAAATTCATAAACCAATTTCTAACATATTGCAACCAAAAACACTATAAAAAATGCAACTGTAAGCAACTATCATAATTCTGAAGAATCATACCAGCTATTGAGAACATTTTAGTTCTTAAATGCACATTTAATAGCTAACCATCTTTCTAGATTTACACCTCAGTGTCTCTCACAAATAGTATTTGACCTGCTCTAAAACAGAGCACAGGCTATGCAAGCCACTACAAATAAACAGCTTTATAGAGGAGGCCATTACAATGATCTCGTACTTAGAAAAGTTCTTAAATCCTTTCTCACAGATATACAAAGAATGAACTAACTATGTCTGAGGTCCATGAAAATAATGAAAAAAGTATTATTTACTGCTTATTCACTGGGGAGAGGGTCAAGGGGCACAAGAAGTAGAGCAAAAAAACAAACAAATGAACAAAATAAAACAAATCAACAAAAAAAAATGTTCTACTCAAGTGTTCAGAGACTTCATCAGTGATTTCTCAAGAGCTAGATTTCACTCATAAGCTTTGAAGAGTCCAATATTAAGGAACTAGGGAAAACAGGTAGGAGACAAGGACTTATTGCTCTTGTTTATTGTAAGTACCTTATCTGGGGAGGTATAGCATCAAGTCTAGTCTCAGGGCTCCATGCTATGGCATCAACTCTGATTCCGTGATGGAACGTTCTTAGTGTCTTATATTGCATGCCTTCCACTTCTGCATCCTCCTCCTACAGAAATATTGCAGTTAGCTGATTCAGAATATCTTGGTGACTTCTAACAAATCAGATTGATATGAAATGGAAAGGCTTTCAAAATTACACGTATCGGGGATCTTTTTAGATCATAACACCATCAAAGCGAAAACCTGGAACATAAGGAAAGTATTAACTTGAAATATTTAAGCACTTAAAAATACATTAAATGACTGTAGCCTTGAGCCAGAGTCCAGGGCAGAGCAAGAATCGAGCTGCAAAGATGCTGAGCCCATTCTTTGTCCAGGTATCTTCACAGACACAACTAAAGCCACTTCTAACAGCATGGTAAGTAAGTACACACTGCAGTGAGGAGAAACAATGTGAGCAAAAGCAAACATGTCATTTAAGCTCTCTTTTTTCCGAGCTGCTTTTTTACACTATGGAAAAATGCTGGCACTTTCAGAACAGCAGTCTTCAAACAGCAGGAGCTAGAAAGGTGCCCTCTGTCATCTAACCATAATTACAAACTTGTTTATTCTTCCTACTGGTGAGAACACTGGATGGTGAGAAAAATGGAATGAGCTGGCTTTGTGGATGCCATCAATCATTTGACCTCTAAAAAACTTTTATAAGTTTTCAAAACATCTAATAGATATTTCTACAAAATTTTCTCTATGTCACAATTCTGCTTTAGGGTAAAGAACCTCCTGTATGCCCTCTGCATAACGTAGAGGCTAAGCAGCACCTAGCTGAGGATGCACGACATTATCCACAGTTTTCAATGCTTCTCAACAGGCAGCAAGAACAGCGTTTTCCTCCCCTACTTTGAAATACTCAATGACTCCACATGTGGGAGAGAAGATATGAAAATTATAGAAAAACTACCTTGAGCCAGTGGTTGTCAAAACTTTAATTACTTCATTTTCAAGGCCTACGCTATAAACAAGGTAGAGAGTAATACAAATGACAGTGTGTTTTTGTGGTCAGCACTAGGTGCCTTTCCGAAAAAATTCCAACAGTAAGACCCCAGGGAATAACAATAATAAAAAATACCAGTCATGCTCTTATTCATAACAGACAAAGTACAAAAATAATATTGTATAATAGAGAAGTGAGATGAAGAAAAAACGTTTAAAAATTTCCAACCACTGTCTCCAATTGATTTTCAAGCATCTAGGCAAAAAGCTCCACTGAATTAAAAACATCTTATACAGCATAATATATAGTATTTCACATTTTAAAAACTTTTATAATATGATGACTAAATAATTTCAAGGTAAGAAAGCACATTTTACTGTTTCCAACAGTCTGTGAGGAGATCCAATGAAAACAATTGGGAAAGAAAAAACATAAAAATTAGCTAATTATTTCTACAGTCCTTCCCTAAAAGAAAGACCTACAAAATTAGCACGGACATGTTAGTTCTAACCTTGAAAGTGGTTGTAATCTTTTCTGTTTCACAGGCTAGTTGAAAGCTTTAGAAGATAAATCATTCTAAATAGCAAATCTATGTAGAACAAAATATAACTGTGCAAAAAGGTGCCAATTTCCCAGTAATAATGATTATTTTATATATATATAATATATATATATTATAAAGAGCAAAGACTAAGTCACATATTTCCAAAGTTGGGCATTTTAAGTTCTGAGACATTCACCACCAGTAGCAAGAGATATTAACATGAGATTATTCTTCCAGGAGACCACTTCTGATTTCTTTGCAGTCTACTCAGAGTGTAGTGATAGAATGAGGGATAATAATTTTAAACTGAAAGAGGGCCAGTTTACATTAGATACTAGGAAGAAATTATTTACTGTGAGGATGGTGAGGCACAGGAAAAGGTTGCCCAGAGAAGTTGTGGATGCCCCGTACTGGAAGTCTTCAAGACAGGCTGGATGGGGCTTTGAGCAACCTGGTCCAGTGGAAGAAGGAACTAGATGATCTTTAAGATTCCTTCCAACCCACACCATTCTGTGATTCTATGATTCTAATTCAAAGGAACTTTATACCATCCCATTAATTTCAGCAGCATGGTATCATATCAGTGTGTATTTCAGATATATATATATACACACACACACACATATATATATATTTATTTTCCTGAAGAACAAGTATTCCAGACTTGTTAATGTAATAAACAAGTAAAATTGCCCCCTGTTTACACAGGGAGAGGAGGAAAGAGGAAAGTGGCCAGTCTTCTTGCAGTAGAGGTGCTGGCAAAGTAAGTTTCAGGACACAGCTAATAAGATCAACAGTAACACAGACTAACCTGAAATCTGCAGGTCCCAATAACTACGTAATTATTGCCACCATAAGCAATGAGGGAACACGCATCTCCACTATCAAAGGGATTGAATTTTACCACATGCACATAATCTTCACAATCCACAGTGTAAGCAATGTTTCTAGTAGAATCTTGCTTCATTTTCAGTGGACTAAGTCAAGGTGTCACAGAAGCAATGTCTTCTCCAGGATGAAAATCAACATTCCTACACAGAAAGTTTTAAAAAGTAAGGATTACTCATTTGCATAAAGAAAAAATGTAAAAGGTATTTGTGGCAGAGCAAATCAGAATTTCCTGTAACATCATATTTAAGAACACAAAAGCTGCACTTAAGCTGGTTATTTTTAGATGTAATGTAGTTTCATCAATCACTATATTTACTAACCTAGCATACGTTCAAAGCTGTCTCTACAGACTTCAGCAATGACTGCAGATTTTGTGCTACTCTAGGCAACCCAACAATACAAGAAATGAAGTAACTGCACACACCAAGTCACATACTGTATTTTAAAATTTTCAAGAAATGACAAGAAATTATACATTACAACCTTAAAATTCTCTTTGCTTGTCTACCTCTTTAAAGACTGTCTAACTAGAAGCAGGTTAAGCAAAGGTACAGAACTACAAAGTAATCATGCATAATATTTAAACACGGTTTCATGATTTAAGGCCCCCCAACTGCAGAGCACCTAGTACCTCTGTGTACTAGAACTTGTACTTGACTGTATTTAACCAATTTTTTAAAAATCGGGTTCTTGTGCTAGAACACAGGAGGCTGAGATACTCAACTGATTTCAGAATCACTCCTTTTAGTACCAGTACAGATTTGATGTTAGTTTATGCCTTTTTGGGAAATCAGACTTATAACTATACATCTTGTGGAAAACCAGCTTGAAATCTCAGACCTTTGATGTGTTAATGATCTGAAGGCCTGGGCATCCAAGTAGGACTGAACGTTTTGGTTGGGAGCCAGCCAGGTTTGACATGGGCATCACTCAGACCCAGAGAGGTTCTCCATAGCTGTGTGTTTATTTATCAATTCATCAACAAGTCACCACCATAAACAGTTAAGCCATGTAACTTGCATAGCTTTGCTCCTAAGGCCAAATGCAAGTTCTAACCCTAGCTGTACTTTTCTTCCTTTAAGGCTTCCCACAAACACAAGCCGATATAGAATGATAGAGTGTTAAGGGCTTGGAACGGACTTTAAAGATCATCTAAAGATCCCAACTTCCACTGCCCTGGGCAGGGACACCTCCCACTAGACCAGGTAGCTCAAGGTACCTTATCCGACCCGGCTTTAAACACTGCCAGGGTTGGGGTATCCACGACCTCCCCGGGCAACTTGTTCCAGTGTCTCACCACCCTCACAGTGAAGAATTTCTTCCTAATATCTAGCCTAAACTTCCCCTTCCAGTTTGCACCCATTACTCCTTGTCCTGTCACCACAGTTCCCGACAAAGAGCTCCTCTCCGGCTTCCCTGTAGGATTCCCAAGTGGAAGGTTGCTGCGAGGTCTACACGCAATCTTCCCATCTCCAGGCTGAACATCCCCAGCTCTCTCAGCCTGAACCACCAGCCATCAGACTAGCTTTAAGTGAAAACACCAAGAACATTATCAGCTCCATTTCTCCAGGAAACACGCTTTGGGCAGCTGATCCACGTGGGGTGCCCGCTACCTCCCCCCGCATCCATCCGCCTCCTTTACCCCCTCACTTCCCGCTTTGTCCCTTCAGGGCGCAGCTACTGCTGCTCCCCAGGGGAGGCTGCCCCGGTTCCCCCGGGCCGGGGGTCCCTTTACCCGCACCTCAGAGGCCCCTCCGCGGCCGCGGCCCCCGCTCAGCCGCCGCCGGTGCCGCTCCGACACCGCCACCCGCCGCCGCCGCCGCCGGGAGCGCTCGCTGTGCTTCCGGGGCAGCGCGGCCCGCGCCCATTGGGCAGCGCGGCCCATTTGAACGGAGCCCGCGGCGCTCCGCCACGACCGGGATTTTCCCGCAGGGAGAGCCGCTGCAGGAACGGGAGCGCCCCGGCCGGCCCGGGCTCGGGGGTAAAGGCTCTCCGGGAGCGGCGCGGGGGTCGCGGCTGCTCGCGGGGTGGGACCGTGGGAGAGGGGAAGGGGCTCCCTGGGGCGGCCGCAGCGGGAGCTTTCGGCCGGGGGAGCGGTATTAATGATGCCAATGCCGGCTCCCAGGGATTAGGGTTTGCTCCGCAGGGTTTTGGGCTTGTTCGGGCTGTTTCCCCGGGAGTTTGCTCGGGGCGGCAGGTGTTGTCCCGTGGAAAGCTCTCGGAGCAGGGAGAAAGAGAAAAGGAGAGGTTTTAGTGTGTCCCACGCTGACTGGCGGCTGCCCCGCTGTTTCAGAACTCTGTGGCCCCCATGTGACTTCGTGTCAGCGTCAAAACAATAAAGTAGGTTGTCGTCTTCAGTCGTTTTGGAGAGTGGGAAGGTGTAGTTGCTGTTGCAGTCTCGGTTGTTGCCTGATGTCTCCTGCTTTCCTTGCCCCTCGCACATGCTTCATCCCTTTTCCTAGTCGTGCCAATCACAAAAACAAACAAACGCAAACGTGGGCTCTGCCTTAGCTAGGTGAAATAAAGCAAAGAGTTGGTTTTGTGTTCTGGAAGTAATCAGTATGGGTATTGCTCCTTTACGGTCACTGTGGTATTGGGGAACTTTGTTTCAGAAGAGAAAAATTTTAAAGGCAAATTTTTACTACAGTGTCTAGTACTTATGTCTTGACAAATGTAAGAAGATAAAAGGTGATAAAAACCAAAGCATGAAGAAGTCCAACTATTGCCAAAGGAAATAGAGGAAATAATGACTTAGAGAATTAAAAAGCAAAACCTAAACCAAACAAACAAAACCCAAACAAACAACTCCACAAACGAACAAAATCTTCCCTGCACAGGTAACAAAAATATTTAGACTTGTCTTTGTTAGTAAGTCTTGGAAATACTAAATATCTTTTCTCCAGGTTTAAAGCATCCTCATATACCCTGATCTGAATGTATGGTGAACGCAGAAACTACAGAAGACAGTTCTAGGCTGCTTTTGGAGACAAAAAGACCGTCATATTTGTGATAACATTCTTTTATGTTGGTATAACGTACAAGGAAAATAAAGGATCTTTATGAAGGCGTGACATACTTTTAACCATATATCTTTACAGTTGCTTTGTCACAGTGAGGCAAGTCTGGTTTAGTGGGAAGAGTTTATTGAAGGAACTTGATCTTTAAGAAGATACAACAGGATTTGCACAGCTTATTGGAAGGTGAAGGCATGCGTATGCTTTTTGCATAGTTATGTTAATTTTTCTCTTGATTATCTCTGTTTCCTACTCTAGACAATGATTACTTTCCAGCAAGAAATTTTAAACTTGGTCAAGTGTTTCAGAAGACAATGGTGTTTATTTTCAAACTCTGAAAGGACTACGGTATGTGGAGCAGACTGCATGCTGATGGCATTGCAACTGTCCATGGCTGAAGTCAATAAACAGGTTAGCATTCTTTTCAGTATGTTCTTGGTACTTAGTTGATTTCAAACTTGGTTCACTTGCTGCTTAGGCACCAACGTGAAATGGCAGTTTTGGTCACTTCATTGCTGTTTGTTAAAAGAGGGTGCATCTGAGGAGCAGATGAAACAGGACACTAAAATCGATAAGATTATTGAATCAGGGCTTAGAAAAAAGGACTGCAAGACAGATGGGAGGATGGAAATGCTTTAAGTGTATATTTGAGCTCCAAAATTTAATATTAAATATTAGCATATTTTTTTTGATCATGTAGCTTCTATTTATTTCCATCAAATATTTCTTTTGTGCTGTAGATCAGAGTGGCAGAACTATGGCATTTGGGTTACTTTTTTTTTTTTCCTGAGTGCTCAAAAAATTCTTTGGAATGACATGAGAAGAATATCAGTTATAAAGCTGATTTGGTATAGTCTGCACGAGTTGTACTTGCTGAGTCCATTCTTAGCTGCTGTTTTTCCTGGCATTCATCAGATGAAGACCTATATGGACGTGTAAGTTGTGAGTGTGCACCCAGTACCTGTAGGAATTATATGGCTTTCTTTGCATATGTGCAAGAGGTGTCTGTCAAATGATGATGTGGAGGTGTAACCCTAAGATGTCTCTGAAATAAACACTATGACTTGTCAAAGCAGGACGATTGGGTGTTAAAAGTCATCTGCAACATATCAGAAACAGTTGCAGCACACAATCAGGCCTTTGCATGTGTTTCAACTAATAAGAACTATTGCAGTAGTCATTTTCATAACCTAAAGATATCTTTTTGGGTCAATGAACCTAATTATTGATGAAAAAATAAGTCCGTTGTTGGACGACTTATCCAACTGTTGCAAAGTAAATCAAACATGGAGTACAAATCTTTACTTTGAAAAACCAAAACAAACATACCAAATCAACAAACACAGCACAAATGACAAAACCACACCAAAGTCAAATCTCCAAACCAATAAAAAACCCAAACAAACAGAAAACCTGCTTTAGTCTGTGCATTCCTGGTTGCAACATATTATTTAAAAAATTACCACTTGTACTGGAAGAAGGTTGTGTCTCTGATGAAATATTTCCAGAACCACTTTTTAGTGTAACTGAGTTCATCACCAGAAAAAACTTTGTAGTCTAAAATGTGCAGAGTGGGGTATCTCATGTCTAAAGATTAAGTATAAAACTAGACAATTCATCCCCAATGTAATAGATGTCACAGCAAAAAAATTGGAATCCCAAGATTCTGCATTTGTACTCCATAAAATTCCAACCAGGAGCCTGATGTCCTCACAATACCTGTGTAGGTAAAACAGAAGATTAGCATGCATCAAAATGAACTCCTGGAAAACTAATTACCTTTGGAGGCAATCACTGTTTGTCATGTTTGTTGTGATTCTAAGGGAAAGCTACAAACACTTTTCCAAAGCCAAGTCTGAGAACTAAAGTGTGTTCTGTTGATGCCAAAAATTACAGACATGAAAAAGATATTTTTATGGTTTGTTGCTCCGTGTTTCCTAACAGCTTACAGTAAGTTTTTCCCCTCTACCAGAGGTATCTGGTTTATTCAACTATTTCCTTTTTCCCCCAGTGAAGATTCCTTCCTTCTAAAAGTATCTTTTCTTTCAGAGATGATCTAACAAAAATTATAGCAGTTATTTTCAACTAATTGAATTTTAAAATATATAGCTTCTACTTCAGATCTGAAGAAAGACCAAGTGTTTAGGACCTGATTTGTTTTTTCTGATTATACTAGTTGGTCTAATAAGACAAATTGTCAATGTGTATAAACGATGTGTGTGGGTTAAAACTATTTTAGCATTTGCCCATGCTGCTTCTGAAGTTCAGTTTCTTCAGATGGGTATATGTTCATAGGGTTAGATTAAAATGTGTCTGTCTTCTTTTGTTCAGAACTGAAACGTCAAACTTAGATGTAGAGCATTACAGTTGTAGGCATATTCCTTGTTAGATGTCTGATTTAAATACAATAATTTTGTGTCATTAACATAACACCTGTAGGATGGATATCTATTATAATAAAGTCAATTACTGTAATAAAAGTAATTTTGCTAATAGGCTATTGACTGGCTCTATTGAAAAAAAAACAACACAAACAAACCAACAAAAAAAATCCAACCTACCACAAACGGCAAAAAACCTGTTTTCTTTCTTTAGCAGACTGGACAATTTTAATGGATTAGGTGTTTTAACTTATCTCTATCTGCAGTAGAAATGAAAAATAACAAAGCTTTTTGAAGAACTTTTGAAAATTTTAAAAGTTTCATAATCTATTAGTCTTAAATTTCACCAGAATGAGGGTAGCCAGCCAGTGTGGCAAACACTGATCAAATAGCAGGGATGAAAGAAAAAAGAAAATCTATGCTTTGAATTCCTCTGAAAATACTTTGTTTTGTACCACAGTCGTGACCATACAGCATAAAGACAAGTGGCATAAAATCTGTGGAGAAAGTGGATACCTTTTCCTAGATTTGTTAGTATAGATCTAAAATCTAGGTACACTTTCAAGAGAAGAACCTTTCTTAAGATTTAAATAGAAATAACAGTTTTCAAGATGAAGTTCACTTGAGGCTAATTGTTTTGAGTGCATTTGTGCACTTAGGGATCAGAAGGGGTAGAAAATAGGTTATTAGATCAAATAATTAGCTTGTAATTTTCAGGCCATGGTTGTTTTAGCTAGTAGTGGGTAAAACCAAAATGCATAAAACAATTATTTTTCCTGAAACTGTGAGTTTAAATTCTCAGACTACTCTTAAAGGTGTTGTAAATCTCTTCTAGGACCAGAGCTGTGACACTGGAAGAAAAAGTTCTTTAATGTTAATTTTAGAAATATATTTTCCCTTTGGAAATTTGTGTTTGTATATTTCTGGTCTGTACAAAAGCAGTTTTGGTGTGTAGTTTGGTTCTACTCTGTGCTTCTGTGAGTGCATTAAGTATGCTGACTGAAGAATATTGTGTTCTGCCCGGTACCTTGTATTTTTTGAAATGGTTCTCCCAAATTGTCTTGCTTCCATGTTGGCAAATGAAGAAAAACACGGAGTTGGTTTACAGCGTTAGTGCCTTAATCTGTTGCATCTGTCTCCCTTTTGGTAATGAGACTCTCCTATCAACTTGGAAGCAATTTTATCTAATATGTTGCTTGTAACATACTGTAATGATGGTCTGAAGTCATCTTATCCAGACTCCCTCTAGCAGAGCAACCTGGCAATGCCAGTTGCCCAGGACTATGTCCAGATGTCTTTCAAATCTCTCTGAGGATGGAGACTCCATAACCTCCCTGAGCAACCTGTGCCAATATTCAGTCACCTTCAAAGTAAAAAAGCGTTTCCCAATTTTCAGAGGGAACCTGTGTGCTTCAGTTTGTGCCCATTACTTCTGGTCCTACCACTGGACACCTTAAGAAAGCCAAAGATGGACCCCACCCTCTTTGCACCCTCCCTTCAGAAACTTAAATGCATTGAGGAGATCCTCCTTGAGCATTCCTTTCTCCAGCCTAAACAGCCCCATCTTTCTCAGCCTTTCCTCAGACCTGAGGTACTCCTGTCCCTTAATCATCTTTGTGGATGAATAACTGAGCTCTGTTGGACTCCCTCCAGTATTGTCAGTGTGACTCCCTTGTGCTGAGGAGCCCAGAACTGCTCACAGTACTTGAATGGGGTCTCACCAGTGCTGAGTAATCTCCTCTACAAGGGGCAGGTTCTTCTTTAGCAGAAAGGTTGAAGTAATAAATATTTAATTGGTTTTTTTTTAAAAGCAAATGATATACTGAGACTGTTCTACTGTAGTTTCCCACAACCTCTGTAACCGAATCATAAATATTTAAGTTATTGTTTCTTGTATTTTTGTGTTGCTTAACAACTGGAGTTGTTTTAACTGTGTTAAAACTCTTGATACCTAAATTTTGAGGCATCTTCCCCAACTTATCAATAGGACTGATGTCTTTTTCTGCTTCCCACCCCTCTCCTCTATAGTATTACAGGTGTCTGTTTTGAGGGCTAGAAGCGGGAGCATGGATGTGGTGTGTGGGGGTTTTTTGTTTTGTTTGGTTCTAGCCAAGAGGGTTCTAAATTTTCGGTCATGTGTTTTTATTACCACTATAGTTGATAGTGTTGACTTTAGAAAGTACTGATATGCTGGTCGGATGACTACAGTTTTTACTTTGCCTGTTTCGTGATTCTGTTTTTGCAACTACTGTTCCACTGACCCATATGTACAGTAGCTCTTTAGTCCTCCTTAAACAGAGAATACTTCTACTCTCTTTGACCTTAGGGCACTGTCCACCCCTCCACCCTCCCTTCCCCAAAACAAAAAAAGATCTTCAGTACCCATGACAAGTAATACTGTAATTCCTCTAAGCTTGGGGTATCAGCCTATACCTTCCCTGCTTCTGCAGATTGCAATGTAACACCTATCAGATGTCCATACACTTGTGTTTACATGAACCGGTTTCTAAATCTGTGCATAGCAACGTCAACATTTACTGTTATAGGATACTTTTCAAAATGCTGCTTTATACTGCTTCAATGTGCTTTTTATACCACTGTTTGGGAACTTCTCTGTGTGAGGGTGTACGCAAGCAATGAAGGCTTAGTAGGACTGGAGGTGACAAGACTGCAGAATCTCACAGAAACTCAAGGACAAAGCCAGGAACAATACTGCAGTCTAGGAGCATGCCTAAAAATAATAGAACTAGAGACAACACATGGATGGTGGTTAAGCACAGCAGTCTTTTACACACGTATTCCAAAAATGGTTAGTGATGATGTTTGGGGAAGGTGGGAGACAACATGTTATTGCCGAAATACACAACTTCCTGTTTGTTAAAACAATTTTCTGTCAAAATAAAGTAAAAGAGTTGATGTACAATGTAGTTAGACCTAGAAAGCTCGCAAAACCTACAAAAATACTAAAAAACTGGTGTCTTTAGGCATGTAACATTGCTACTGTATTTCAGAATCCAAGGAAACTTAATACATGGCACTACCAGGAACTGAAGTGAATAGAACCAGTAATATCTTTTTGGTTCTATGCATATGAAATGAAATACTTGCCATGCCTATAATGGAATGAAAGCACGGGGCTTTTTGAACTTTCTTAAGCTATGAGCCAGCTGACATATGTTTACTGCAAAACACCACATTATTTCTTTAATTAATTTTAAAACCAGATACTTGACTAATAGACTGTGTAAGTAATAGAATACACCATCACAGTGAACACCTGATCACGAAGGTTAGTATCTGGAATGCGATTTTATTTGGATTTAAAATATTTTTGCAACACTAATATAAACTTTACTGATCTCTGCAGGCCCTTGATCTGGTGAGGAAAGGTTTTGATTTATTAGATACTATGTGAAGTAGTACTTTAGCTTAATAATTCTGGAGGATTTTGTTTCAAAACAAAGTGAGAAAACTTTTTTTTTCCCCAATCTACTGCTGTTTTGATCTGTTTAAATTGGATTATAATATGATTGCATGTTTAATTTTTCAAGAGGCTAAAATGAAAGTCAAGTGCTTTTCAGAAAACATATTACATTTTAATATTCTGGTGATATGTGGAATGGCATGTAAGTTCATAGAGCTGATTTGTCATAACCCATGCACAAATTAGAAGGCAAAAAAGTGCTCTGAAAATAATATGTATGAGTGCTCTCATTTTCATTCCTAGTTCTTTTCCTAGACAATATCAAAATAATTGACTTTCAGGATTTTGGAATCCTGTGTTTAACCAGGTCTATTGGGAGAGTTGTGCTAAATATGCTAGAACCCTCAGGAGGGACCATTTGGGTTGGAACAACTTAAGTTGCTAGGCTTTCTCATGTTTTTGTGTTTAGTGTTGTGTTCCCTTGCTGATGGTGTTTGCAGGTAATTAATTTGCCTAATGTGAAATTGTCATGAGATAGTGCCTGTCTAATGGCAAGATTTAATTCTATCTGCCATTATGGACATAGCAAAACAAGGCTTGTTGCTCTGTTACAGGGCATTTATATTGTGTTACATGATGAATTTGGGCAGATGGAGCTCGTTAGCCCTTAAAGGCAACCCACCTACGTCCTAAGGACCTCGCTGCCACCATCCAAGCTCGCTTGGCCCCGGCAGATGAACCTTAGGATTAAAGGGTGGGCTCAGTTCCGCGCACACTGTGTCTCACTTAAAAAATCCAATGCGCAGGCTGGAAGGTGGAAAGACCTTCCCTGGATCTTCGCTCGCGAAGACTGACCATTATTATTATTATTACATGATGAATTACACAGCAGCTTTTTTTTTTAGTGCTGTAAGTTGGAGGGTGCTTTAGACACCAGTAGTGTGGACTCTGTTTCTCTGAAAACTGGAAAATTTGCAACAATTGTGAAATTACTTATTGCACGTATTCTAAGGTCTAACTCAAATAGGAGGAACTTGGGTGAAAAAGTTTTAGCAGCAGGAAGCGGGGCCTGGTACGTAGATCAAAGTGCAGAGTGTGGGTGAAAATGAGGAGTCCAGTTGTGAAAGAGAAGATGGTAAGAGCAAGGAGGAGAAGGCAGAGGGGCACATAAAACTAACACAGGAAAAAAACCTCCTTTTTTTTGGACATATTTTCCTGGATTACTGTCTGAAGCAAGGTAAGAGAGACATGTTTACTGCCTTTGGGGAGTAAATGCCTGCCATGCTGAAAACTATTTCTGCAAATAAATAACTTCAGGCAAGAAGAAGTCCTGCAACATTCAGTGTCTTTTGTTATGAGTAAAGACCAACATACATATCTGGTATTTTGAAGATCTGGAACAAATACTGCATATAACAAAATTCAACTGTAGATGCAAAGCACTGGAAGAAGTTCAACTATAAGTAAGAATTTGTTTATTATAAACTTGATAATAGGTTTTTCAAAAATAAATATGCAACTTGTTTTAAATTTATTTTTTAAAGCTATGCTGAGTATGAAACAGTATTTTTTGCCTTTTTTTGGTTCTATTAGCACCATGGAGACTTCACAGTATCACTTAGTGATGTGCTGGAAACTTGGAACTATTTGTTACATGACAAACTGGGATTATCATATGAAAACATGAAAGAACCTGAAAATTATGCTGATGTAAAAAAAACCTATCACACCTTCTTAGCAAGAAGCAATATGTTAGATCTAGTAGACATACGTCAGAAGTGCTATAGTCTTGGACTTTTACCTGAAGATGAAAGCATAACCCCTGTAAGTATTATGTTTGTTTGATCTCTAATATTGTTTTGGCATATTTTTTGTTCCATGGATTTGCGACACTTATACACAGGATCTCTGAGTTTTTCATAACTTACTTAGTTTTTCTGTTGGGATAGCATTTGAATTTAAATTACTAAATATTTAGAAGAAATTTTAAATTTACTCAAAAATTATTTATTCCTTTTGTCCTGCTGGATGGGTGAGTCTCACAACTCTTCTATGAGTATATTACTCCTTGCCATAAATGGAAGTGAAAAATGAACTGTAGAGACTTGATGAAACTGGAACAAAACTTCGTAATTAACACGTGCCATGGAGTTTTGGATGTATTTTGATATGCAACCATAATATTTTTAATTATTACCATTTTGAAAATACTATGCTCTTTAAGCAAAAACTTCTGTTTATTATGTTTAGTTCCATGTTAGATTTTTTTCAGAAACCAAAAGATATTCCACTTCAGCCACTCAGTTGCAGTTTGTTGCAGGTCTTTCGTTTGTTTTTTTTCTAATATGTTTTTTCCTCACTGTTTTCACAGGGAAGACAGAGAACTTGAGTGGGTTAATGAGCTCTTCCTAAACTTGGCATAACATATTAAATGTTCTCCAAAGCATAGGTTGTACTTTTAAAGACTAAAACCAAAAGTAGGTTGTAAGGTCTGCGTTAACCTCAAATACAACCAAACTGGCAGAGATGCAGGTTTACACCAGGTTTTAAAACCACTTTTGCTTTCTAGTCATCTTCATATTGAAGTTTATTCTGATCTTTTTATTAAAGGTTCAGCTGTTGGAATTCATTTCTGGCATAACGAATGTACAAGAAAATAATGATTCTGTTCTTTCTACTCCTTCTACACAAGTCAACAGACAGGGCCAGGAGAATGTGAAGGTAAAAATTATTTCTGTCTGCTGTAATGTTCTGTATATGTTGGAAAGATAAAATATAGTATCATTTCCTTTTTCAATAATGGTATTGAAATGTGACTGGTTTAAAAAATATGCAACCTCTGTATTCAAACTCTGTATCATTTGAGTACATTGTAGGTGTATACAGGGCTATGTGCTGAAATTTATATTCTGGGAGACAGAATTTTTTTGCAGGCACTTGATGTAGACTTAATCTGCATTGAAACACCAGGGAATAAATTTTTCTGCAAGTACACCATCCCTCAGACATTGTCTTGACTAAGTGTTAAGTGATTTTCCCAACGCTGCAAAACGAAGTAAACTTCTTTGATTTCGTGTTGTTAATTTGTACTCCCTTATATACAGAAGAAATCTAAACAGCCACTGTAGTGGCAGCTGTAGCAAAGCAAATAAAGTTTGACTGTCCCATTAAGGGAATTGAGAACTCTCCAGGAGTACTGGATTCTTTCCTTTTACCCTTTCAACTACCAAAATAAGAACCTCTGGATGCTGTGTAACAGTGCTTGAAATGCTGTAGCTTTACTCACTTCCAAACTTGCTTTTCTCATAATAAGTGTCAATTTCAAATCAATATTTTGGTATAACTGAATATTTCTGAACAAGAAAATATTTTCTGAACTCTCACCTAAATAGCACTTGCACCACTAACATAATGGCATTCTTACTGCTCTGACTTGTGCAGTAAAAATATTCTTTGCTTTTTTTCTTTTCTCTTAGGTCTGTCTTTGCAGGATGTCATACATACATGTTAGGTTTTGATACTGTCTGCATTTTTGTTGTATACTTTCTGTTGAATCAGAAGACATTGCATAGCAGATATAAGTTTTCTCATTAGACTTTCCTCTGTTAATGGCCTTTTTTAATTTTTCTTTGCTTGTACCCAAACTGCAAATTCTTCTGTCCTTGGACTGTTGTTCTTACAGGGTCCAGAACAGTGCTGCAATATTAGCAATTATAATGTTGTATTTTGGTTATGTGGGTCAGGCTGGGTCACAATTTTTTGTCCAAACTCAATCAGTGGAATTTCTTTGATTGAAATCCCTTGGAAGCCAAGAGAAAAATCGCTGAATCTGTCACAGAGCTGGCAAATAGTTTAAAATCTTAGTCTATTTGAAGTTAATGACAAATTCTTATGTAGTTTAATACTTGCCTTAGGATAGAATAGGTATATATGTGAAGACATTTCTAACTAGAAATTTATAGCCAATTTTAATAACCAGAGGTCCAACCCTCAAATATTTTGTGAATATTCAAGAATAGTATATGTAATTCTTAATTATTTTTCATGTTTACTTTTCATCAAGGCTTCCAGAGTCCTCATGAATAAAGTAGCGTTTTGAAATTATGCAAGGTGAATTTCTTACTCTTCTTTCTTGCTCTTACAGAAATCATACCAGTACATATCTAATTAGCTTTAAAATAAAATGGAACATAATTTAGCAGTGGGATGACCAATTTCTTTTCTTATACAGGCAGCAATCCTGGCAAAGAAGTCTGTCTGTTCATATTTAAGTCTGTTGGTGAATTCTAAGGATGATCTGTCGCTGGCTCATGTTCTAAATGTTCCTGACAGAGGACTTGGTAGAGAAGCCTTCACTAACCTGAAACATGCCTCACAGGAGAAGAAAATGTCCATTTTCCTGGTATGTGTGTCAAATGAAACTTGCTGTAGATCAGAGTCAATGAACTTCCTCTGTAGGGATGGGACTCCTCAGACTCTTTTCCTGCTCCACCATGTCCCTCCCTTAGAAGACAGTTCTCTGCAAACTTCTCCTTCCTGTAGGCTGCAGTTCTTTTCAAACTGCTCTTTCCTGTGGGTCCATTCCATGTGATGCAGTCCTTCAGGGACAGACTGATCCAGCATGGGAACCCTCCAGGATCACAAGTCCTGCCAGCAAACCTGCTCCAGCATGGGCTCCTCTCTCCATGGATCCACGGGTCCTGCCAGGAGCCTGCTGTATCACTGGCCTCCTAGAGGGGTCACAGCCTCCTTCAGGCATCCACTTGCTCTGGAGTGGGACCCTCCACAGGCTGCATGTGGAGATTTGCTTCCCCTGTGGACCTGCATGTGCTGCAGGGGCACAGCTGCCTTACCATGGTCTTCACCATGGGCTGCAGGGGAATCACAGCTCTGAAACCTGGATACTCCTCCCCCTCCTTCTCCACTGACCTGGGTGACTGCAGAGCTGTTTCTCTTACATGTTCTCACTCCTCTCTTCAACTGTTGTTGTGCAGGTTTGGTTTGGTTTTAGTTTTCCCTTCTTAAGTATTTTATTCCAGGAGCTGTTGCAGATGAGCTCAGTCTGTCTTGGAGCTGGCTGACATTGGCTCTATCACACATAAGGAAAGCTTCTGGCAGCCTCTCACAGCAGCCATTCCTGTATACCACCCCTCCTGCCAAAAACCTGATCATACAAGCCCAATACAACAATGAGCTTGAGTTCAGTAAATATCAGAATGCAGTATTAATAGTAATGAAACCAAGCCATTAATGATGTATTACAGTGTATTTCAGTTTTGAAGTGCTGTAGGTATTTTGGTTAAATCAGAAACCAGCATTTTTTGGTGTGTTTGTCAAAGTTTAGACATCTGGAACCCACAGTAGTTCTGTGTAGAAATTTCTTTTCTTAGAGCAAGCTGGTGACAAAACCCCTCCTTTGAAATGTAGACTAGAACAGAGGCCAAAGTTTGTAAGGGCAGTATTGCATTTTTTTCAGATTTGACTCAGAATTTGGGGAAGCTAATGCTTTCTAGTCACTTGTAGCTTGATCAATCTTGAAATACTCTTTAAGATGAGATTGATATGGGACATTTCTGCTCATTTTACTCTTGAAGGCAGAGAACTAGAAAAAAGACCTTCAGGCAGTAGCATAGTCTTTCTTAATGCCCTTGTATAGGAATTAAAAAAGCTACAGCATCAACATGCAGTGCTCCTAGAAGCTTGCTGCTAAAGAATCTAGTTTGGTATGTGAGGTGCATTTATCCTCCCAGTAGTTATAGTCAGCACAGAGCCATTTCAAAAGTAGTTCAAATAGGGTAAATAAGAATTTTTTCTCCAAAGAGTCACTGTAGTCCCTCATACTCAAAATAATCATCAAATTTTGTGTGCAGAATGGCCTCAGTGCAGACAACAGCAGTCCAAGGAAAAAACAATAAGGGTATGTAGCAGGCACTGAAGCAGCTGCATTCTCAATTTTAATGGTTTAATAAATATGGAAAATTTGAGAAATCTCAGGTCCAGTATTAATTATTTTAGCTCCTAATGCACTGTTAACATTATAAAAAAAATGTATGGGTTTGGACAGGATATACTACCTCTTCTTCACAGTTGCCAGAGGGGAAACTTCTCTACCATGTAAAGAAGTCTTCTTTTCTGGCATCTGTGTCTTGTAGAAATCTTGCAAACCCAGAATATTTTCCATTGGGAAGGCAAAGTCCTATGAACTGTGTATTTGATCCACAGGAAATCTTTAATACAAAGACAAGAATACTGGCAGGTTTACTTTCTTTGCTGGAGTAATTCCAGTTTTGCTCTTTCCAGTCCTAAGATCTTTATGATTTAGCTCTACAGTCGGAAATTAAAATTTACGTGTAGAATTAATATTACTGAATGTGTGTCAAATGCATTGGATTGTTATCTTTACTTTCACCTTTCTGGACAACTGCTAGGATTTTTGTTCTGACTGTTACCTTAAAATTTCAGGGGCTGTACTCCAAGGTATACTACTTTGACACATCTCTTGTTTTTATCATCTTATAGCATATTAAAATATATAGAAATGTCTAGAATGATAGAAACCTTGTCATCATTTTTCTTAAGGTTTGAGTATACATCATTTGCATCTCTAAAAATAGGTTTAATACTGAAGTCAACTTTTACATGCTTATGTTAAAATTGTTCTTGGGTCACAGACACTCAATAGAAGAGTAGTTTTTGTGAGGCCAGCATGAGCATTTAAACAGCATCAACAGCAAGAGTTCTATACCCTGTTTTAATAAGGTTTTTTTCTGAGCTTTCAAAGGGCTAATGTAAATCTCAAATTCACTGGGTCATTTTAACTTTGGCTTGTATTGTCTTTTGTTAATAGTATTGTAGTATTTAAGTATTGATCTTGCAGATATTTATGGTGAGATGTACAAAACTTGTCATTTAGAGGCATTCTATTGACTTCAGAGAAGTTATTTCTGCTGTCAACCAGCTGTTATACGCTGTTTACAAAAAAAAAGAAAACAAACAAAAATCGTGTGTACAGTTCATGTATGTCTACAGTTTCATATTTCTGAATATTTCTCCTAATAGATGGCAACATCTTTTATCTGAACCATAGAACTTGGAGGAAGAGACTGTGCATCTTCTTTATATGACCCTTTAAGAGCCCATGTAAAGGGGCTCTCCAACTTTGTTAATTTTATTGACAAGCTACAAGAAATTGTTGGTGAAATCTTAAATCCCAGGTAATAGATTTTCTGTTATATTTTTGTCTCATTGAGCACTTCTTTTTCCTGTGCATGTGTCCCAAAGAGAAGGAACAAAGCAAAATTAAATAATGTACTTATTAAATAATTCACAGTAAGTGTTTGAAAATTAAATCTCATTATACAATATAACTAATTGAAAAAGAATTGGGGTAAAATTATGGCTTTTTGGAGGGTGTTTTTTTTGTGTAAATATCTGTCAAATCTATGTATGTATGGTGATTTGGTTAGTTCCCTAGTTGTAAATGAACTTAGAGATTTCTATCTTCTGAGTCTGGTAAGTGCATAAACTGACAAGTGCTTTACTTCTTGCTAGTTAATGATTTCCTTTTTGTCATTTCATTCCATTTACCCTTATGTAAAGGAGTCTTTATTGCTGTTAAAAATGATAATGTTGGTTATTTAGCCTTTATTTTTTCTTTTTTTAACTACATAAGTGAAACATATGAATTATTTCTTAGGAAGGCTCTGGTGGAGTAGCTGATTTTGAATGTTTTTGAAGACCTGAAGTTAGTCTTTTGGGCAGGCTTATAAATGTGTGATTAATTAGAGAAGGGTAAATGTAACACAGGGATTTGAATTGATAAGTGCTGGCATTGCTACAGACAGAAGAGCTATTTTCTTAAGCTTTATAGAAATTAGTAATTTTTTGCATTTACAATCAGTAATTTTTCCATACAAAACTTTAGCAAATCAGCTGTAATAGTTCTGTCCTTTATACTAAAGACTCTTGTTTTTTTTTAGTTTGAATTGAATCTAATCCGCACAGCAGAAAACAAAATGTTATAAGCAAAACCATAAGTGTTATTTAAGTTCAGTTTACATTGAAGCTGGAAGTGGAAGTATTTCTGAAGTTGTTTTGCAGTTTTTGTCTTACTTTTTTATTCTGCTTCTTTGTTCTTTCATTTCAACATTCTGGATGCCAAAAACGTACTGTCTGTGCTGATGATTAAAGAAAACTCTTAGCTCAATGTATACTATATGCTTTTCTCTTTATTTAAATCATATCTGACACTGTCCATTGATTGAAAAATGAGAAATGGAAAAACATTTATGTGCATGAGCTTACTTTTTAGGATGGCAAGACCACATTTTCAGGTATACACAGTTCAGAAAAGTATAACATAAAATGCTACGTCTAGTTGCTGGGAATTATTAGTTTTTAACTACATGAGTTCTCTAGAGCTTGGAAATTCTTTTTGGCATTGAGATATTTATTTTGTAGCTTTCCCTGCTGTACTTACTGTCCCATTTATTCTGGGATATCAAACTTGTTAAGTTCAAGTTCAAGTTGGTGTGTTCATTAAGTTGAGTAAACACATACAGGTGTCACTGGTGATCTTGCTGAGTGGAAGCTGATGGTCCTGTGGTGTTTCTAGTATCTCTCTATATGGGCTTTATAACCTCACAATGTAAAATACTACTATTTTCTTTATATATGTATCTATATAGTAGCTCAGTGCTTATAGAGACATACCAATCAGATGACTGTCTTTGAAAGAATCTTCGTTACTATGCTGATGTTCTCAAATGTTATAGATCTGGTATATACAGCTTAGGAACAGTGGAGGCCTCAGCACTGGTCAACAAAAAGATGTTTTTAGGTGTTTGGTATGTCACATGAAGGAGGACTGTCTGTGTGTCCTGCCTGTGATGTGGCAGTTGTTGCAAATTTCAGGGGATGCAGTTTTACACAAGAAATTTGTAAAACTCCTGCAAACTTAAAGAGCAGAGTTAAAAAAGCAGCAGCGCAACAGAAGTTTCAGTTGCTTTGTCTTCAGAAACCTTATGAGAAACCCAGTAGCAAACTGGACAACCTGTCTGCTGCACTACTGTTTCTCTGCTGCAGAGATTAGCAAACCTGCAATAACCAGGTCTCTGTATTTGCTATGCCACTAGAAAAATGCAGTATTTTTTGTTGTTTACTTAATGATTGGAAGTCTGTTATTTCAGTTTCATCTTGGTAACAGTGGAGATCTTATGAAACTTGTATCTGCACAAAATACAAAGTAGCTAAAAAAGTGCTGGGACAATGTGGGGCACGTGCTGAAAACATGTTTTCTTGGTCTGCTTCAATCAAGTCCTTTGCTTTGGAAATCTAGAAACCAAACTGAAGATGTTGGAGAGTGGTGGGATGTGCTTAAGGATATCTTGAACATAGTGGGAGATATTGCGCAACCAAGTAACTCCTAATCTGTGGAGAACTAAAAGAATGTGTTTCTCATCTCCTCATCATTTAGCTAAGAAAGTGAATAGTAGATGAGATGAGGGAAGGAAAATCTGTCAAACAGAGTGGAAATTTAGTGAAACTATGATGATTTGGTTCAAATATGGCACTCCTGATAGCAGGAGACATGGAAAGACAAAATGAACTTTAGCAGTTTCAAGGTGTATTCACTGAGCAGAACGAACATTCTCACAAATCTCTGGCATGCTGAAATAGTTCAAGTTTGCCTCTCCTCATTCTCCAGATGTCTAAGATTAGAAGAAATCACTAATCTTTCAAGAATCAGTAACATGAACATTCCTTAACATTTGAGGATGCTGTTAAACTTGTAATGCTAAAACTATTTATAGATAGTGTACATATAAGACTTAGACAGTGTTTATACAGTAAACGGAGAGCTTGGATGTTCTTCTTTATGACTGCTTCTTGTCAAGGAACATATCAACAATGTATTTGTCAGTGAAGTGGATGACTATTATACACCTTCAGATCTGAAAAATCTTGTTGGTATGAATGAAAAAATGCAGTCCTAATTAATCCTTGTGAAAATTCTTTTCTTTAAGGCCAGAAGAACATAATATATTTCTGGAATGACTTTTTTCAAGTTCGTTGAAAGTGTCTTCTGCCGTACTGGTTGCTGCAGCCGGTGGGTTGTGTAGGGGAGGTGTGCATATACATATATATACTGATTTCGTGCAGTAGGAAAGTTGGGAGATTAGCAGCACATTTTCTCCTGGAGTTAGGCCCTGCCCTCGGTGCAGGCAGCGACCACTGGGTGTCACCGTCGCCCAGCTCACATCGGAGCTGGTTCGAGCTCCCCGTGTTGTTTCACTCAACTCATTGGAACGACAGCGAAGCTTCAGAGCGGGTTTGCGTTTCGGGTCCCTGAGCAGCCTCCTGCAGCCGGTTAAAGCAGTTATACAGCTCGCCTTGATCATCTGGATTAGTGCATTCAGCTTTCCCTTGACAGAGAAAAATGCTATTTCTTGTATGTTGCCTTTGTGAAACTGTGATTGCATCTGGAGATATAGTATTTTGGGAGAGACAGCATATTGTGCTTTATCTGGACTTGTGCTGGATGTTTGAGTTAATTGGACAGCTTTCACACAGCACTGGAGTTTTGGGGTCTAAAGTTACTGGAAAGTTGTGTGAGTGTATGCAAAACATTGTATATAGGATTCCTTAAACTTAGGATCATGGAGTAATTCAGGTTGGAAGGAACATCGTGAAGTTTTTTGTCCAACATCCCACTCAAATCAGGGTCAATTACAGGGTCAGCTCAGGTTAATCAGGGCTTTATTCAGTTAAGCTTTGTGCAGGCTCCATCCTTGGAGGTTTTCAAACTCCCTCTTGGCAACCTGTTCCTCTGCTTGTGTCCTCATATGGTGAAAAGTTGTGGGTTTTCTTTCTTATATATAGTTAGGACCTCTCTTGTTTCAATTTATGTCTATTGTCTCTTTTCTTTTCACTAACTGTCAACATGAGGAGGCTGGCTCTGTCTTCTCGGTTGCCACCTTGTAGTTATTGGAAAGCTGTCAGTAAATCCTCCTGAAGCCTTCTCTTCTCCAGACTGAACAAGCTGTTCCCTTAGCTGCTTCTCACAGGGCATGTCTCCCTGACCATCTTGGCAGCCCCCTGCTGAACTCACTCCAGTTTATCAGTGTCTTTCCTGGACTGGGGGCCCAGAACTGGATGCGGTATTCTAAATTTGGTCCAATGAGTGCTGATTAGAGAGGGATAATCACATTCCTCAGACTACTGGCTACGCTACTGTTAATGCAGCCAAGGATACTGTAGGCCTTCTTTGCTGCCAAGGCATACTCCTGGCTCAGGGCTAGCTTGCTGAACATGCACCAAGACTCCCAGGTTCTTTTACATAGAGCTGCTCCCCAGCCTGTATCATTGCAAGGGACTATTCCTTTCCAAGACTTTGCATGTATTGTTAAAATTTCATATGGTTCCTGTCAGCCCGTTCCTTTTGTCTGTTTAGGTATCTTTGCGTGGCAATTCTGCCCTCAAGCACATCGACAGTTCCATCCAATTTGGTGTCATCTGCAAACCTGATGAACATGTATTTTTATTGTCGAGTCACTGCCAAAGACAATAGAAAAAAGCAGGTTTCAGGATAGGCCCCCATGGTACTCCATTTTTACTGGCCTTCAGATAAAGTACATGTTTACTACCTTCTGAGCTTGATCATCCAACCAGTTTTTTCCTCATCTAATTGTCCATCCAACCAGACTATCTTTTTTTTTTTTTGTTTCTCTCCATTTGCCAGGGACCTCCCCTGGTCACCCTAACTTTCCAAAGATAGTATAGAGTGGTCTTATGAGGGCATTTGCCAGTTCTATTGATGCTCTTGAATGCAGTCCATTTGGTTCTGTGTACTTGTATGTACTCAGTACTGGCAAGTAAAGCCTGATTTGATCTTTATCCACTTCTGACAGTTCTTTTCTGAAAACTTTCTCTAGTCAGGGGCCTGGGAGACCATGTTGGTGAAGACTGAGGAGAGAAAGCACAGAGTACCTCTGTTTCATCTGTGTCCACACTGTTGGACTGTGTCCTTCAGCAAAGGTTCTTCATTATCTTTGTTCAGTAGGTGACGCTGCTTTAACATTCCTTGTGATTCTCAACTCCAGCTGAGCTTTGGTTTTCCTGACAACAATCCTAGATGCCCAGGCAATGTTTCTAGATAGTTTGTAACCCATCCCTTCTTCACCATCCTGTGTGAAGCCCTTTTTGCATTCGAACTGTCATCAGCTCACTGTTAGAGCCAAGCCGGTCTACCAATATTTCTACATATTTTCCTAAGCATTGTGATGAACTGTTCTTGTGCTTGTAGTATTATTTTTGTATAATATAATTAATGTTGTTATAATTAATAGCATCAGATTTCTTGAGCTCCTTTGCCTCTTATAACTTTCTCTCATGGGATTCCATGGCTACTTATCAAGAATCTTGTTCTGGGAAGAATACTTGTTTAGTTTTACAGTAACTCCATTGCCAGACTTCAGTAGCATAGCTTGGTATGGAGAATATGAAGAGTCTTTCTAGTTTCTTCCACCAAACTAAAAGAGAAATTTTAGCCAATACAGCAAAATCAGCAGCATCAACAACAGAATTCTTTTTTGCTGTGTTTTTTATTGTGGATCTAATGATCTGCAAAACTCCAAAGGGTATAAGGTAGAGTCTTCACCTAGTATAAACTTCTGTAGGGTTTAAGAGATTAGAGTAATAATGCAGGCATCCATTGTTTGAGGTGGAATTTTTATATAAATTCCATCAAAACACTATAAGTATTTTTATATTTTTGTATTTTTCAAATATATTTAGTATCTAGATGAGTTCACTGATATGATTTTATTGTTGAAATTTTGATACATAAATTAACATGAACTACTAATTTTCTTAATTTATTCTGTATAACATAACTGGAAAAAAAAACACATTAGAGTTGCTTTAAAGGCACAGCTACTGCTCTGTTAGGAGCATTTGTATTTTGTACTATCTCCCAGATACGTTTTGTCCACTCTTCTACCCAGGTAGATGAAGCTCTAGCTGAAATCTGCTGCTTTGTGTCTGAGAATGGAATTACTGCTGCTCTCTTTCTATAGCTCCAAATTAAAAAATTTAGATAACTGTTCAGTTCTTATCAAGTTCTAAGACATCTTATAAATCCATAACAAAGAAAAAAGGCTGTGATCTCCACCCCACCCCGTGATCACTAGGTGTTTGTTTTTTGTTGTAAGACATTTGTTCCTACTAAGTCAGATAGCTCTGTACTTGTCATCTGTCTTTTACCTCTGTTGAAGTTGAAATGAATGAATAAAAATGTTGACCTTAGTATAATAGAATATTTATATATTCTTTTCTGTTCTTGGAAAAGGCTTCAGAAGCCTGTTCTACTTTTTATCAGGTTTTGAGTATTGTCCATTTTCCTCAACTTTTTTTTCTTCTTTATGCTACTTTAGTTTGTTCCACAAAAGATCTATTTCTAGAAAATAAATAAGAGTGCTCTTCATCATATTAATTTTTCATACTAAAGCCTCAGTTCTGTAAGAAGAGCTCTTGCCAATGCCATTTAGATTTTTGGTAAGGAGAGCAGCTTATTTAAGTGTAATCTCAGTAGGAACCAAAAGACAAAGCATGTATTAGTTTCTTATAAATTAGTTACCTCTACATAAGAAAAGATGGTTTGCTAAGGAAAAGGAGGTAGAAATAATCAGAGCTGGAACTGAAATGATCTAAGGTGAGAAGGGTTCAAGTGACCACAAGATCTGAGAATATTTTTAGTAGGAGCAACCAATGATAGAAGATATGATTTGTGTGATGCCTAGTTAACAGGTAGAGTTTTACATTGTACTATTTTTTTAAACTCTCTTTAGAAACACTGGTTCAAATAAGGCATTTTTAGTATATGATTCACTTTATCTACATGCAGACATCTGTGTTTATCTAGCTACAAGACAGGTGAGCTGAATCCCACCTGAACTGTCTACTCTTTTAGTGCTGGTTAAAGCTGAAAAAGTTAAGCTGTTCTGTCTGTCAGTTGATCTAAAATGTTCATGAATTTTTTAATTGAAAAAAAAAAGCTAATTTGACATTGTAAAACGAACTGGCTGCTAGTGAAGTCTTAATTCAGTGGCCTGAGATGTGTGCATTAACGTAGTCTTTAATTGTGCAATCACATGCTTTCCCCTCGTCCACCCACCCAGCAGTCCTGGCTGTTGTGGATAGGAAATAAGAGTGTAGATTTAGACTGTGTAATGGAAGAAGGTACTGTTTGACCCTTTGCAGCTGATGAGGCAAATGAAGAATAGCAATTATCTTAATTAACTGTGCAGGTGCCAAGTGCTAGTTGTATAATAATATCTTTTCTTCCAGCATACGTACATGTATGTATATGTTAAATGTGTGGAAATGATGAAGATGTAGATAAGGTCAATGTATCTGTAGACAGAAAGAATTGAACCTGGTTTTCTCAGGGAATTTCAGTCAATCCTTTCACCTGCTTGTTTGTCTTGGAGTTCTAGGTTCAGCGCAGTATTTATGGAGCAGATACTCCTCATTTAATACAATACTTTTCTCTTTTGAGGATATTATTTTGAAAAGTGTAAGTTTAGGATTGAGGAAAATAGAGCAGTTTGGCAAGAAGCATCAGGAGACTTGGCTACAATTACTATGTGCATCTCTGAAACAGAACTCTCCTTCAATAATGCTCTCTTCTTACCTCTGGACAGCTTGCAGTGGATTTTATTTTCCTCCCTTTGAACTTTTCATTCTTTTGTGGTTAGGTTGAATTGTGGGGTTTGGAGCAGTGGTACAACAACATCTTTTTTTTTTTTTTTAACTATCCTTTCTAAGATCTGTATGGGTCTTGACTTTTGTACAGAGAGACTTGACATGGTGACTTTTCTTTTGGCCAAGTGCTTACATTGTGCTTAAATTTCTGAAAAGCGTAAATTTTTCTGCTTAATGAAGCTGCAAATCTGATGTGAACTGAATAATCTTTAATCTGTAAAAGTGTGGAATTGCTGAGAATTGTGTGAAAATACTTGGGTTTTACCCAGAAAAAAAAAAAAAAAGAAAAGTTTCATGTTAACTTCAAGTTTTCTAAGTTATTTGCAGGAGTCTTGTTCAGCCAGAATAAGCCAAAACAGTAAAGTCCCTGGCCCAGTTCTCTCCGTGTATTTTAACTGGAAACAATATCAACAAGCTATTTTTCCTCTGACTCAATTCTTATTCTTACCTAGTTCTGCCCAATTATTTTATATGAATGTAGACATGCAGAGTGTCATGTGATGGGGGTTCTCCCAACTAGAATTCGAAAATTCATCTTCAGAATTTAATGCGTACAAAATATACCTTTCTTGGAATTTGTAAGGTTACCTTTTAGGATAATTCAGTAGGAGCATGAAGGACACCAGTAAGCATAGAGGAAGTTGAAAATGAGTCACCGTGTCACCCTTGGCTGTGTGACCTGGAGTAATAAAACCATGGCTTTGGGTTTTTGACAGAACCGTGATTTGCAGTGTTATAGATGTATCTAAAAATTCAAGTGTAAAGGCCAACAGCAGCTCAAGAGTTCAAGGTCTGTGAGTAAATATGGAGTTGTTTTGTACTGTCCATAGTGTGGTTAAATCTGTGGTGTCTGAGCTAGATAGACTGATGTTAGGTTACAGTCAACATGCTGCATTTCTGCTTTGATCTGGTTTATAAACCTAACTAAACAAAAATTGGGAAGAGATATGTTCTGATGTAGGAGAGTTCAGTGGTTCTCTTAATGCCTTATTTTTTTTGCCCAAACTCAAGCAATAGTAAAACAAACTTAATGCTTTCTGCAGATAATGGACAAAATTATTAAGCTTTTAACTCAGGGGGGTTTATTCTGTCTTTCACAAAGTCTTAATTAGTCAAGACGCATTTGCTAAAGAAAGAGATTAATAGAGTGTACCTTTATAGCAAACAGTGATGTTCATGTGGTCTAATTACTATCTATTTAAATAAAATTGAAAGCAAATTGGAATTTTGAAGCACCTTCACAAAGCACAAAAGGCTCAGAAATCTAATAGGGTATTAAATGGGAATGCACGTTTGAGTGAAAAATGTTGTTTATTCTTAACAGTTTATGAACAAAACACTAACTGTAGGTTTAAAGAATGTACTTTTCTTTGAACTTTAAGGAAAAGTTAGTTTTGTGTTGCAGCTCAGAGTATTATTAAACGCTGAATTCATTACCTTATAATCGTTGGGGTTTTCTTATTTTTTAGCGAACTATTATGTTGGACAATACTTCTACACTGCTGTTTGATTTAAAAGATCAAAGCTGTTCTCTTTGATTAACTGTGAAGACTGGCTATGTTCAGCATTAATAGGTATATTAAAGTGTTGCCAAGATTAATGTGGAGATGACCCTGTGCCTATTTTCAGAATCGCAGGGGGGCGAATTCTGTCAACAGTGAAGATGCATTTGATAAAAGGCCGAAGCAATGGGGATCCTTTCTGTCAGGCAGTAGAGGAAGTTGTACAAGATTTGGATTTGAAGATTAAAAATATTATCGATTCACAACAGGAAATCTTGACTGCTAGCACTACTGGAGTCAGTCCAACACGGGTAATGGGACTTCTTTTGTTCTTTTAACTATTTAGCTTTATAAGAAAGCAAATGTCTTTCGCCTGTTTTGTTTCTTTTTCATTTTTTAAAGGACTATCTATAGAGTATAATCTTTTCCTAGCAGTACAGAGTAGTGTCATTTCCTCTACACTGTGATTTTAAACTTGTTGAAAGACTTATCCTTGAGGATTACACTGTGGATTTCAAATAGCGGATTTGCTTAAACTGAATTTCTTACCTCAATATTGTAAACAAAATACTCTCCAAAACTTAATTTATTTGTGCAGTTACTATAGATGTAAGTACTTAGATGTGTTGGGTTTGCCACTAATTTAAAGGCAGTAAATCTGTAACAAATTTCGAAACAAAAGAACCTCATGAAAGTAGAATTAAGATTTGAGAACATGTATCAGTAATTTTTGATTAAAATACACTGGTTTTAATTAGTTCAGCATCAAGTATTTCTAAGGGTAAGGCATTCAAAATAAGGTTAAATATGAAAAAAAGTCTAAAATATGGTGAAATGTGGAGCGGGAGGGGAATAAAAATAAAAATCTCAAGCATTTAATGTATAAGTTTTTTGGTGTTTCAAGACACTAATGAAACTATTAATGACTTAAATAATCTTAATGATTTTATTCATTTTAATCATGGAAGGAATCAGGATATTTAAAAACCTATAAGACAAGTGTAGAGAGCACAATAAAGGAGTCTGGGAAGAAGGAATGGAGGGGTCCTATTCTGATTACTTGGCAATAAATTACCATTAATTTCATAAAGTCAAGTCTGTTTTGCCCATGATGTTAAGTGGTAAATGAACAACCTGTTCCCATCTCCACCTCGTGAGTTTTATTTCAAGATATTTTCTCTTCCTGTTCTGTGTAGGAGGAGGAAGGATAGGAGCAGCTTGGCGAGCAACTGGCAGCTAGTCAGGGTCAACCCATCACAGCCCTTTGGGGTGCCCAGTGCAGGTTTGAGGAATTAGAGAAAAGGACAGTAGTTTAGAGAGGTAATGGGCAAAATGTGGACTGAACACTGATTGAGAGCAGTGTAAGCATTTTTTTGTAATTGTGAAGGGACGAGGGGTAGAGTGTTTGTAAATTGTTTGCCTTTGTCAGTGTTGTGTTTATGCTGTTTTGGTTTGGGGGTAGGAAATTCTTTTTGCTGATGTAAATGAAGTCTTGTGAAGATTTGTGATGAAGGCATATTTTAATGATTGTTCTTAAACATGTGATTCCTAGAGACGAGGGGTGGAAAAGCGAGATTAGGCAAATGTTAAGACAGTGATATCAAATGGCATATTTTAGTGGAGCTTGGTGTGGAAGAACATTTTACTAAATATGTAGAGCAGTAGGTTACATTTAGTAATGAAAAAAGAAAGCAAAATTGAAAAAGTCCCATAAGTTTTCCAAATTAATTAGAGTTCTATAAAAAAAAAAAGAGAACATCTGTATTGTTCCATTATGATCTCAGGACAGCAAAAATTAACTCTTTGTGCTGAGTTTTACATAGAGCTAGGGGTTTTTGTTTTGATTTTCACTTAATAAAGAAACCCCCAAACCCTGATGCTATATTTTTTCAGAAAAAGTTATTGTATTCAGACTAAGTTCTGGTTTTGATAGGATGTTATGTTTTTTCATATGTAAGAGGTTGAATTATTTCTTTGAGTGCAAATTTACAGTATGATCTTAAATATAGAGGTGAAAATTATGCCTCCACTAGCTCCTGGGAAGGCTGCTTCCTCATAAAATGTACCTGAAAAGAGTTACTTTGTTAGAAAAATATTTGCTTTTCTCCTGGCAGTGGCAGTTTTCTTCCCTCATTGCTCAGTTTTCCTGCAAATACCTGTTTTATAAGAATCTAGAGCTCTAGGAATAGTTATTACTTTATTCAGCAGGAAGCACTACTTCATGTTGAAGCCTGCATGAGTGGAATTATGGATTAATCATAGGAATTATGATTAATTTCTTCCTAAGAAAATTACTACTGTAAATGGAATCTGGCTGGTGTTTCTGGAAGTAACTAGAATAATCTGGAGTAGCCAATGGTCATTAGCCTTGAAAGACCGAGCAACTATTTTATTTAAAAAATAATTTGATTCATGATTTTAAGCTTACTTATTAACAAGGTTTTTTTTTTTTTTTTATTGCAAGGTTTGTTGTCTTACCTAGAGTTCTTATTGTGCCTTGGACAATAGGATTATTGTCCATGAGTTAATTCAACGAGGCACCGTTGTTGTACTTGAGATTTCTGACGATTATTTTTTGGTAGTTAGGAGGTCATGGTATTTTCTAAAGATTATTTTTTCCTTTTTGTATTATCAGTCAAAATGATTCCAAATTTATACTTTTGTCATTAAGACAAGTTTACCATGACACACATGACATTTAATAAAAATCTATGTTGCAGTGATGTAACGACTGTAAAGGTTCAGAATAAATTTTGAGGAAATCAAGCAGTACCGAAATAGGCCAATTCTGTAAAGCCGAGTAACAACCATTTCTGTAATTGCTTTTTATAGCTATTGATTATAACTTATAGTGGCTGACTGACATGTGTTGCTATGGTTTCTTGAAAGCTACATACACTAATTGATGTAATCAAATACAGAGAGAAATAGAATTTTATCTTTTCAAGACTGTGTTTAAAAGCAGTTAACTGATTAGATAAATGCTGTTCGCTGCTTCTCTTGTCCTTCAGAACACAGTCAGAGTATTCAGTGTTTCTGTGTATTAGTAAATAAGAAAGCCTATAGTTTTTTTAAAAACTACTACTGTGTACTAAGCCCTAAATTTCTCCATGGAATTCCTAGTACCTTTAAATAAAAATATAGCAAACTTGCAATTCTTACAGTCCCACAGTGGCTATGGATTTCTCCATCTGTACTGCTGACTGTTGCATTGAGCACTTCCAGATGTGGATTATTATTTTCTTTAAGGAATTCTTTATTCTTGTGGAAAATTGTGAGGAATTCACCCTGTTTCAAACAACATGAAATTGTGTCAAAGTACCTCTGTTGTCCAATGTTAATGGAAATCTCACTTTTAACCAACTGCTTTAGCAGATTCACTTAGTCAGAGGGGTTGGGCTTCAGCAAAAAATGTTTGTGTACCAGAGTATGTTAATTTGTGCTGCACAGTTTCATCACAGATTTGTATATTTTTCTGTGTGACTTGCTCATCAGACTTGCTTAGTGTGTACTTCTAGCTGGTAGTGATCTAAACTCTACTAATTGCTTGGGATAAGAAAAGCTTTCCCGTGGAGAGGTTTGCCATGTTTACTGCAAAGGAGAAGGAAGGGGTTCTCACACCTTGTGCTGATGTGGGTTGCTTTTGGAGCTGAGGTATTGGTCTGACTTGTTGACCTTTCCTGTTTTTTATGTTCCTTCTTATTTACTTTCAGCCAAAACTGCATTCCATAAATCATGGCACTGCATATTGTGGCAGAGATACTGTAAAGGTCTTATTAGTTCTTCTGGATGAAGAATCCGTCCATCCTCCTACCCAGAACAAAGCTGATCTGTTATATGACAATGAAAGCTTAGATTTGTTTGGAATCACCTCTGTTTTGACACTCTTCAGGTGAGTATTAAAAGGTTTTTTGTGTTTGTGTTGTGCTAGTTTGTTTGGATTTTTTAAAAGATATAATACTGAGTGTCTAACAAAGTGTTGATGTTTCTTACACAAGGCGAATGACCAAAGTGCATTCTGCTGTGAAATTAGATGTAAAAGAAAAATGTTTTTAAAACAGTCTTGAGTTTTCAAAAGTATTCTTCCTCTTAATTTGCATTTTCTGTAACTTCAAGACACTTTTGTAACATGGACTTCTAGTACATTTCTGGGCTTCACAAATCCCATGAAGATAATTCTGTGCAACAAACATTCCAGATCCTCATCTCTTGAATTTGAATGCCTATGTTCAAATATGGGCTCTCCACTGATAAATTAGATTAATATTCCATTTCAAGATGCCTAAACTGGAAGATGGAGGATCTTAAAAGTTGAAGAATTGAAGAGTCCCACTAGATTTGTTGTTCAACCCTTTTTATGAAACGAAAGGAGCAAGTACATTCTGATAAAACTTGAAAAGAAATTTTTACTATTAAGAATTCTAAAGAAATCTATAATAATTTTAATTCAAAAAACAGTATGTAACAACATACCATGGAATATTCCTTTCACTTCTCAAACACCTGTGGATAGTTTTAGCTATATATTCCTATTTCATTATGTAACAAACTTAAAATAACCCTGATTTCAGTCTTTTGTTTTTTCATTGCTTCAGATTCAGGTTAATGCTCTATGTGAATAGAATCGAGGCCCACCTGAATTCTTCTGAAATAAACACTGCTATTCAGAGCTAGAATCTTGACTTTTTTTTTTTTTCCCTCTTTAAAGCATCTCTCCAAACTAAAATAGACTTTAAACCATTTATTTCTGAAGAATATTGCCCACTGAGTTCTTTGACTTCACTTACCTTACTTAATTTTTCAGCTGAATTAATTTTCTTTGGATATTGCCCAAAAGGATAAGACATTTGTTTGACTTCAAATCTTATAGGTGTAGGTGCAAACATGTACTGCTGTATGGGAATTTATATAATAATCTAGATAATTCTTGTGTTTTCCTTAGTAATTTTTATTGGTCAATTTGGTTTAGATTTTATGTTCCAATATATAACTTCTTAAATATTTATCTCTGTGTTTTCTTTTACAAATTGGATTTAGGATTAATTCGCTCTAAGAATTGAAATCTTGATCTTAAATAATTAGTTCAGGAATAAAAATGGAACTTGCAAGCAACACCTATCCTTAATTTTTATCAAATCTTTGTGTTCTTCATCTACCTAGCAGCTGTAAGGTTCCAATTGCTTTATAAATGCTGAACACTTCAATATTCCACTTGTTAGCAGCTAAGGTGTCACTCTGATTTGTGTCACTATGCAGGCACCCCTACAGTTCACTTTCTTGTTAATACCCAGGCACCCCTACAGTTCACTTTCTTGTTAATGCCTGTGTCTCAAGTATTTGATCAAGAATGTCTGCGGCTTTTTTTGTCAATCTCTTATTAATAGGAAATCTAGAACATTTTCCCCTGTCTGTGGAAGTATCTTTGGATTCTTGCTAATCTGAGTTTGTGCATCAGATGGTTGGTCACCTCATATGATAGTTTTTGGTTTATGTTTCTTGATCATATAATAGTTATTATTTTGAGGTTTTTCAAAATGCTTTTTTTTTGTTGTTGTTTCTAGAAATTTAATTACTCATGAATCTCTGAATATATTTAATATACTGTGAGTAGTTTTGTCTGGATTCTGGTTGGAGAGAGTAACAGTTACTTTTCAGGTGAAGACTGAGATTATATGAGAGCATCTTTTTTCTCAAAATGTCAGCATTGCAGGAAGTTTTTTTCTTTGCTTTACTCTTAATAAACTTCTAGATGGGTTGGGTAGATTTATCTCTCTCCAGTGAAATCTTGAAAAAAATTGCTACTGAGAAGCAGCTACTCTGTTGTTTCATATTTTACAGGCTGTGATTAAAAATATTTTCATTGTAGCTTGGAAATGCATGCTTATTTGGAAACTGAAAATATAAGCCCTACAATACATCCCTTTGTTTTAGAGCTTCCTAAACCAAACTGAAGTTTTTCTTACTTTATCTGCAATTTAGTATATCCTTCACATATTTTTCCTTCTGCAAGCACCTCATTCCAATCTACTGGAAAGTATTCTTCTTAGATATCATTATAGAAGTTCAAACAAAATTCTCTTGCTATTTTTATTTTGTATTTTGAAGCTGTATGCAAGGTAGAAGTGTGTTATTTTTACCATAGTATTTTACGTTTTTTTTAAGCAAATATAAAAATCATAGAATCATAGAATCCTAGAATAGATTGGGTTGGAAAAGACCTCCAAGATCATCAAGTCCAACCCCTGGTCCAACTCTAATTACTATATCATGGCACTAAGGGCCATGTCCAATCTCTTTTTAAAAACTTCCAGGGATGGTGAATCCACCACCTCTCTGGGCAGGCCGTTCCAATGCCTGATCACCCTCTCTGTAAAGAATTTCTTCCTAACATCTAACCTAAACTTCCCCTGGCAGAGCTTGAGCCCATGTCCCCTTGTCCTGTTGTTGGTTGCCTGGGAGAAGAGACCAACCCCCCCCTGGCTATAACTTCCCTTCAGGTAGTTGAAGAGAGTGATGAGGTCACCTCTAAGCCTTCTCTTCTCTAGACTAAACAATCCCAGCTCCCTCAGCCTCTCCTCATAGGACTTGTGCTCAAGTCCCTTCACCAGCCTGGTTGCTCTTCTCTGGACCCGCTCCAGCACCTCAATATCCTTCCTGAACTGAAATGTAGTGATGATGTTGAAATCAAAGTAAGGAGATTCTGATGTAATTAATCATACTATTTATGTTTTAGAGTTAAGTTTTGCATGACCATGGATTAAATATTTTTATGGCTTTTTGCAATAAAGGTTCTCTCTTTCTGGGTTTTTGCAAGTTCAACAGGTATTCAACATTTGAGGCAACATCATGTTTACTGCGGATTTTTATATCCTTCCCATCATCTTTCTGTCCTGCTAATGTTAAAGCCAGTAATTAATTCCTGCTCATTTATTTTCTTGCTTTTTTAAAAATTTCCTTTTATTTAAAGAATACCCATCTTGATGTGGTGTTCTAAACACAGAATCTCTTGAAAACCCATTTCTGTGGGCACTGAGAAGAAACTAACCTATCCATGCACTGAAGAAGCAGTAATGACTTAATCAATCACTTGTCTTGAGGAAACATCAGTTGTCAGAAAAAAACAAGATGCTGAGAATTTTTTTCATGGGTTGCAAAGAGGATTCATGAACCAGAACCATATCATGGACTTTAGCATGATGAAGCTACATCTATCGGCAATTAAAATAGCAGAACCATTGCAGGGCCTTGCAGAAGTTCTTCACAACAGGCAGCTAGAAATAAACAAATAAAGAAATTTTATTTATGGAAAAATTGGATAAAATTAGCTAAATAAATAAAATAAAGAATGAATTATTGTTGAAAAGCTTGTCCTCGTACTCACACTGGTCTGCCATGGGAAGTAGTTATTGACAAATGCACAGATTCATTCTTATTTCAAGACCAAAAAAATCCTGCTTTATATGCATCAGTAATTTTTTACCTTATATATGCATCAAATATTTTCATTGATGTAACTATTTACATACTGCACCGTAAGAGGGTGGAAACATTTTGTGGGTTTCTGTTGAAAAATCTGTAAATATGAGGAAAATTATATTGAATATCAACCAGATGCTGTTGAAGGGGGTGTAAATAGAATGGTGGCTTGGAAACTCATCACCAGCATGACATATAACAATCCTGTGGCTGCAGAGCTACAATATTGTAAACAATACTGCAAAATGGTACCAGAAATTGGAACTGCAGGTTTAGTTTCATTATACTCTCTTCAGTTGTCACAGTACATGTGGCTGCCTAGGAGGGTAGAGAAGGTACTTGCCTTCTTGTTCCTGAAGAACTTGGTATGGTAACAGTTTTCCTTAACTAATTGCTTACATGTTCTAAATACTTCCTATCTCCTTTTAATTTAGATCTCCAGTACAATCCAGTGGATCTTCTCCAAAACCTCTTAGACAACGTATTCAGAAATCTGTGGAAGAGAAAGTAATTAAGGTACTGTCCAGAAATTGCTATGCAAATATGAAGGCACTAAAATAATAGAGATAAAATGAAAATAACAGTGTTAAAATACTCAAATACCTGGCTGAAATGTATCCCATAGCTAAAGAAACTGTAATTGTGATTACTTGTGGTAAGTGACCCAACTTGAACAGTGTTGTAATATGACTGGAAATATCTAAAATTCCAGAAGAGAAAGGCTTTAAACTTAAAAACTCTTCCTAATGAAGATTTCTTAATGGAGGTATACTGGTTTAATCTTTATCTCTTCATTTACCCATCTGTGTATTTCAGGACCATAGCAATAAACCAAGCTATCTGAAAACAGAGGTACAACTGAACACAGGCACCTGATTTCAGTTCTGATGATACAGGCATTGCAGAAGTGTAGTAATGACTTTTTCATTGCTTTTTTTCTTTTGATGCTTTTTGTTTGCACCACTCTGAGGATATTTCCATAACATTGCTCTCTGAACAATAAAATAAAGATGTTAATGTTTGCTATTTTGTAGAGGAAATGGAACATTACAAGAATATGTTGGTCTTGTGAGCAACACTATTCAAAAGAACAGCTTCAATGTTTGTGAAAATTGCAGTCTTCCAGTGTACTGCATTTTACATAGTCTTTTTTTCTTCAAAATTGCCAAACTTGCATGTTGTGACTATGAAGGGAGGCAGAGCTTGTCTTCCATGTTATATCAACAGTGAGCTAAATAAAAGGAGTGACATAATATTTTTTACAAACTGACAACATGTAAAAACACAAACATAATTAGTATCTGGGGAAGGGGTGTTTTAAGCCATCAGAATTAGTTCCAGAACAATGGAAAATATCTTTCTGTCACTGGACATGAGGTAACCTTGAACACAATAGTACATATCTATGAAGCAGATAGACATTAAAATGAAAAGCACTGTCAGTATTTCCAGCATGCATTTTAAATATGCTCCAAATTCATTCTGAGGGGTTTTTTGGGGACTGAGTGAATGATGGGCATTTTAGACACATGCACTAATTATGGTGAAATTTAGTTTAAAACCCACAGGCAAATTATGGAAGATTGAATCTGATAAAGAATTTTCTTTATATTAATTTTATATGAAAAACACATTTAAATTGCAGCTTTACTTAACAAATAGCAAAAATGTGTTATGGTGTTTGCATAAAATGTTGAATTATATAATTTCCTTATCTAAATTGAGGTTTTGTAACTGGATCCATGAACAACTGTGTTCAGTATCAAAGTGCAAAAATTATTATCTAAAAGTAATTACCTGTCACATTTGAGACATTTGCTGGGAACATATAGGGTTTTTAACAGAAACAATCGAAAATATGAGTTTAGAGACTGATTCATATTACAAAAATATTTTAACTTTTTTGGAAACAATTGTATTAATTTAAAAATAGATTAACTACTCTAATTTCTGTGCAAATAGTAGTTCTTTCAGAGGTCTCTGAATAGTCAAATGAGTTCTACTTCAGGAGCAGGAATTGCTTGCATAAGTTCATTATGATGGTCTGCTGTGCTGCTTTTGTGGTGCCTGACTCTGATAAGGGTTCTGTGACTCCTATAATCATTGTTAATTTAATACCTGTCCTAACCTTGCTTCACTGTGATTGATGAAATAGAAGTACCTGTAGCAAAATAGAACAAAACATCTGGTTTTAGCCAATAATTTTTGAGATTTTTCAGTCAACTTGTAGAACTGAGTTTGATGCCCACCAGATGCCTAATATAATCGAGAGAGACTATATTAAAATTACCTTTTGTCTTATGGAAACCAAAATTCAAAGAGAACAAGTGACAGGGTTACAACCAAGTCTGTGGTTCACACTCCTAAACTTAATTTGGCATCTTAGATGACTGTAAAAGTTACTTAGTATTATCTTTTCTAGATTAAATTAGTGATGGTGAACTCTCTTCCCTACTTTAGCAGTGTGGCTGGTAACATGATCAACATGTTGAGCTGAATAGCTGCTTGGGGCTATACAAGTCATATCTTAGAGCAACACTGAGGCTGCTTAACTGCTTCTAGTAACCACAATCAGTCTTCTTGATGGCTTTCTTCCATTGTATCCCATTGTACCAGTGAGACCATGTACAGCATCAAACTGAGATCAGATGTCTCAAGATGTTTTTCCATTTAAAAAAGTGAAAATAAAATCGTTCAGGTCGGAGTGTAAATATTCCTCAGTTATACCCTTAGTGTAGGGTCCTCTTACTCAAGATAAGATGTTTGAGTGTTTCACATTATCATTGCAATTCTTTTTAGTATGTATTGGCCAAACATTGGTATCTAAATTACACTATATTCCTGTGAAGTATGGAATTATTCTTCTGGTATTCCTGTGCTCACCTTAGTCTTGCTTTTCCTTCTAGTCAACTAAAATGGCTGTTGCCAAAAAACTGGTGGCTTTTGTAACTAAAACTTGCATAGTTCTTTGCCATTCATATTTGATCTCCATCCTCTCATATAAAATCCTACTTTCTTTCTTGAAATGTTGATCTTCCATTTTGTCTTTTTCTGGTTTTTTCTCTCTCTACCTTTCTAATAATTTTTACATTTCCTTTACATGTTTCTATCCCTTCCTTTTCTTTCTTTTTATACGAAGACATTTTTAGATCCCTGTCTTTCTCTTCTCTTTCTATGTGCCTTCTTTGTGGCTGAATACATCTACAAATGGAAGTTCAGCTATCAACAGTTCACACACCTACAACTGACTTAAGTGTCTCTTGTGTCAAAACTGATATATTTTATTAATTCTATATCATCTTGTGGATACCCAGCTCTTGATCTTGAGGTGATATGTCTGTCTTTCCTGGTATATTTAACACTGAAGCTGGTATTGTACATGTTGTATTTTCACTGCATAACACCTCTGGGATATGTTTTTGTCTATCTGTATGTCTGCTCATCTGTAATTTATTAAGTGCTCATTTTACTTTTTGGAGGTGCTGCTGTGTATTTTTCTTGGACTTGATAGTTGTGGCTTTGGCCTATCCTTCTGCACTGAGATTGCCATACAAAAAGTTGTAATCAAAGGGATTAGACACTAGATGCCATTTACTGTTTGTATCTCAGTCTGTTCCTTGTTGTGGTACATATAAACCTACTTGTTTTAACTTCTCCAAACCTATTGATTACTTCTGATTTGCTGCTTTGAGGTATCTGTTCTTGCTTACATTTGGCCTGCAATACCGGTATTCATTGTTCATTTTTTAATTTTCAGATGAGCCCTTTTAGCTGTCTTTTATACTGTTTCTTATGGCTGAAGGGATTTCCTATAGTGATCTGCAGAACTCATTATACTCCTTTAAAACCTTTTCAGTACCTTTAAATCAACCTTTCCCCAAACCTTAGCAGTGCTTTGTGTTGAGATGGATGTCTATTATGACAGTGACTAATTTCAGTTCCTTACTCTGTGAATCCATATATTTCTTGTCACGAATTGTATTGTCTCTTGGTGGAAATAAATTTTGTTCTGTCCTTACTGTAGAGCACATAGCACAAAGAAGTCCTTGTCCATGACCATAGATCTGAAGTCCTGTAGTAATAAGTACCACCTTCATACACTGAGTATCAGTCTTCGTTATTATTCCACGCAACCCTCTTGAAATGGGTACAGGTTGCTGGTAAAATTCACAGTTATAAATTTTGTTATGCATAGTGCACTTGTGTTAGCAATCAATTCAGAAGAGATACCAGACATTTGTTTTTTGAACAAGAGAATAGCAGTATGATGTTTCTTTTCAAAATCTGTGATTCTTCAGAGAAGTTTCTTTTGCTGTATTGGTGATGGTAGCTTTAGTTACAAAAGACTGCCCTAAGGACCTTTTTACCATGCTGCCTCTGCTAGGTGTTACATGGTTAGTCTATAGTATAAATTAAGATCTCTCATTAGAACTTGTCCCACAAAAGTTTTGTTTTCCATGATATTTGAGAGAAGAAGGAAAACACACTAGTGGTGATTAGTTTGCTTGTATGCTGAGTCCCATCAATATGTATGTGCTGAATAAAGAAATTTAGGAGAATCTAGAAATTAAAAAGAGAAACAATTAAAAAGAGAAACAACTAAATTAAAAATAAACTTTAAAAAAAAATGGTGAGAGAGAAAATCATTATGCTCTCTCCTTCTTTAAGAGGAACTGATCTCTCAACTTCCATAGAATTATGTGGAGGAATGCAGACTGATACTACTTAGACCTAGGGCACAGCATCACGTATATGTGTTTTAGTATCTGAAAATATGGGCAGTGGATAAAATAAACAGGTAGTTAGTTATGAACTAGAATTCCTGTTAAAAAAGAAACAAACAACAGTCTGTGGATATTTCCATTGTGCCAAAACAAATGCCTGGCAACAGTTCGTGACAAAGAAATATTTTTGTCTTTCAATCCTCATTAAATACTGGAAGAAATGCAGAAAGATCACCCAACTATAATGGCATTTATTAGGAAGAAATGCTGTTGCTCTTACTCCTTGTTGAGAAAGAAGTCTGGGGAACAACCATGTTGCATTGTTTCGTTTTCTCTAGCAGAAGTAGGTAAGAAAAGCAATAAACTCCTTTCAAAGTCTACCTTTGAGAGACAATTTAGTTTCAGGTTTGTTATCTATTGTTTAAGTAAAGTGTCTTCAGGTAAATGGTACTTTGTAGAAGGAATCTTTAGTACAGAAAGTTCTGTAGAACATCTATTGAGTTATGTCTTGTCAGCTGTCCTTATCACTCCTTTCTGCTTTTCAGAAATATGTAAAATACTTAATTGTATAGGAGAGAATTATTTTATCTGAAAAGGGTTCATCCAGCCTTATATCTGCTTCTTTGAATCATACTTCTATTTATGACATGGGTAGGTACCCCGTTGTCTGACTACTTATTTTGTTGATTTCAGTGGGTTTATTAAAGTCCTGCTTAGTGGTGTGAGAGGGGAATGGACAAACTGCTACAATAAGCTGCTTTTTTTTGGTTGAAGAGCAATTTAGGACAACAA